GACTTGGGCTTTTGGAAAAGGAAGTGTTTCTTGAGGACAATCTTGAACCCAGCGTGAGATCGGGCTTTGATTAGCACGTGGGAGGGGCAATGTGTGCGGTACAAGAGCTTGCATAGAACCACAGGCCACATACTAGCTCTGGGAGACCTTGAGCCAGTGCCTTCTTCACGTGTCAAATGCAGGTATCCACTTCCTGGAGCATCTTGAGGATGAAGGGAAAGTGTATGCAGTGTGCCCCGCAGGCCAGGAACACAGCAGTGCACAAGGAATTACGTGTGACGTTGGTAAGGATTGGACCAAGCACCCTTTTTGAACACTTGATGCCGCCAGGCAAGGTGCTGAGCCTGGGGTTTCTCAGAAGGAGCACTCGGACCGCTTCCTCACAAGGTACTTTTTAAAGGGTACAGAGTTCTGGGATTCAGACTTTGAGGGGTGCAGCCCAGGAATGGGAACAAGCTCCCTGGCTCATTAAAATCTGAGAATCACTGGTGGGGAAGCCTGGGCGGCAAGAATGTTCCAGATGACACAGAACCGGAGAAGGGATGGACATGGAGGACCCTGGACTCAGAGGAACAGCCCCACGGTAGGCGCTCGTTCCAAGTGAGACCTGCAGGAGGTGGGGGATGAGCGCCCTCGGAGAATAGGGCAGGCCTGGTTCCCGGCCACGGCCCAGTTCCCATCCCAGGAGGCCCGGTGCCCTCTGCAGCCGTCAGGGATGCCCAGGCTGCTGGGTCCTAATGGCTGAGCACTCCTGGTTTGGAGGATTTGGGAGAAAATGCTTTCAGGGGAACCTGAACCACCCAATGCTTTTCCTTCTCCTGGGAACAGAGGAAACACCGCAGTGAATGACCACTATCCCTCAGCACGGTCTGCCAGCGGCCCCGATCTCTGAGCTCTCTGCAATGATTCCTCCAAGGAGGATGGACACGGTGTGTAAACCCCACTGGCAGTTCTGTTCAGGGCTCGCCGGTCCTACTCTTCTCGCCCTAGGAAGGTGGGTGTCATTTAGTTTAAAGGCTTACCTGGGGCCCTAACTGGTTTGGCTCAGTGAACAGAGGGCCAGCCTGCGGATTCAAGGGTCCCAGGTTTGATTCTGGTCAGGGCATGTACCTTGGTTGTGGGCACATCCCCAGGAGGGGGTGTGCAGGAGGCAGCTGATTGATGTTTCTATCTCATCAATGTTTCTAACTCTCTACCTTCTCCCTTCCTCTTTGTAAAAAAATCAATAAAATATAGTAAAAAAGTAAAGTAGTTGCTTTAATAAAAAAAGACCTGGAAGCAAGAAGGCTATACAGCGGGTTGGTTTTGTCTTGGCTCTGCTCCTGGGAAAGTCATAAAAGCTCAGGCAGCCCAAACCGGTTTGGTTCAGTGGATAGAGCATCAGCCTGGGGACTGAAAGGTCCCAGGTTTGATTCCGATCAAGGGCACGTACCTTGGTTGCGAACACATTCCCAGTAAGGGGTGTGCAGGAGGCAGCAGATGGATGTCTCTCTCATTGATGTTTCTAATTCTCTATCTCTCTCTCTTCCTCTCTGTAAAAAATCAATATATTAAATAATAATAATAATAAAGCTCAGGCAATACCCTCCACCTCCCGGGAGCAGATGGTTGGGGCAGTCCCTGCAGATCCCCCGGTCTGCCCCACACACACCTGCCTGCCAGGCAACAGGAGGAGCTTGACTCCCTGGCCATGCCATGTGCTCCAGTGTGGGCGGAGCTACCATGTGGGAGACACAGTTTCCCTTTGGTTCTCTGACAACGTTGTTGGCAGAATCAAGGTGCACCAGGGGCCAGAGAGAGAGGTCAGCCGTGTTTCTGGGCAATGCCCACACAGCAACACTCACATCCGCTGCCATTCTTGGACCTCAAACCTGCAGGCCAGAAACTGTGCACCCGCTCCGCAGCCCAATAAGTCACAGACACGGCATCTTCACAAGGACGCTTGAAACCAGTCAAGCACTATGTATTTTATTTAAAAATATGGAAAAGAAAAAAGTCTAATGGTAAGTATAGTCTATACATGCTACAGCTAATGGTTCACCACCCCCCCACTCACATTATATATCCTCACGTATTTTTTTTGTATGTGTTAAAAGGAAACAAAAAGCGCCAGAATGTGTCCCTCTGCCGAGAGGGGACAGGAGAGCCGAGTGTCCAGGGACCGCCAGCATCGTCCTGGGAGTGGACACGCCGGAACCCACCGCTCCTGGAGGGACGCAGGGATGGCCTGCCGACGTGGCGGCTCCCTGATGTGGGACACGTGGCTGTGGCTGAGGTGACCACTGCTCCTCACCACCCCTGGACGTGGAGGGGGCAGCATGAGCAGTGAGATGGGCACAGAGGCATGGCAAGCATACAGAGGGGTACCGTAGGGACACCCCTGTGGCCTCAGAATTGCTTATTGCTCTCACAAGCCTGGCGGGGCACCTCGAGTCTATACAAGACCCCAAAAGTGCTGGCTGTGGCCCTGGGTTTGGCTTTCTCCAGGAAAGAGATCGAGCCCCCTGGTCCCTGGCCGGAACTAGGGGGACCTCCTCCGGGGGTCAGGGCAGAAATGGGGAGGAGGATGGAATGTGGAAGCGCAAGGCGGGGCTCAGTAACCCGCAGGGCAGCACCAGAAACAGGCATCACCCCACAGAGCCGGATGGATGGGGCGGTGGGAAGGGTCCTTGGCAGGTGGTCTGCATGGGCTGTGGCACCTCCTGAGCAATTCCTCCAGGCCAGCGGAGGGCGCCCTGCACCCTCAGGCCTCCGCATGAGCCAATGGCCACACGTTCGGGCCACCACTTGACACTAGGTCATCTTTGGTCTATGGTAGTGGTCGGCAAACTGTGGCTCGCGAGCCGCGGTTTGCCACTCTGTTGACGAATGAGTTTGCCGACCACTGGTCTATGGCATGGTATGGCTGCTTGCAGCAAAAGCCCTGAAGGATGGGCCTGGATAACCCAGGGGGTACCAGATGGCCCGTGGATGGCTAAGGCTGTGATGTGCCCACTGTCACAGTCCAGAGACAAGGGCAAGACCTCCCAGGAGCAGGTGGACCCAATGGGTGGAGACCTGGCACAACGAAAGGATGAAGGCTGAGCCCGGACCTGCTCTTTCTTGATGTCCAATTCCGCTATGTGAGGGCAGGAGCTCCCTGTGCCGGTACCTGGTACTGAGACTGCCCATCCCTAAGGCCTTCCAGACCCGGGCAGAGCCGCACCTGCCCTGTAATGTGGCCTCTGCTCTCCTCTTCCTCCCGGGAATGAATCCCCCGTGGGCTCAGGGATGTTTAAGGCCGAGAACGCAGCCTGAGAAACCACGGGGGGGGGGGGGGGGGCTCCGATTCCGTAGAAGCGGTTCTGGCCCTCCCCATGCCTCTACCGGGGACAAGGACATACCGCCACCAAACGGCAAAGAGGCTCTGAGTGGGAAAATGTCAGCAAAGGCCTGTTTCATCTCGTGGTAACCCTAAAACTCGGATTTTCCAAAGATGGTGGTGGCACCCCACCCGAGCTGTAGTTTTACCTGAAGATGCGAGATGAAATGCAGGAAGCAAGCAGGGGAGGGGGTGTCACTGTGCCTCCCAGAGGGGCACTGGCCTGTGGTCCACTGGCCTGTAATCATGGGGCAGGTGGAGGAGAGACTCAAAGCCACAGGGAGGGTCCCCGCTTCTCGGGGGCAGAGGTCCCGGGTGTGGGAGACAAACCCCGGATCCAGGCTCAGCATGGTCACTGCTGCTATTTGCATGGAGACAGGAATGTGGCCTCACCCCCTGAACCTGAATTTTATCACTGCAGACCGGGACTGGCCTCACGCATCTCCCAGGGCTGTCTCGAGAACCATGCTAAGGGGTGTGCGTGTGTGTGTGTGTGTGTGTGTGTGTGTGTGTGTGTCTGAGCCCCGGTGGCCTGCCGGAGCTTGGGTGGGGGCTATTCCTACAGCCCGAGGCAGATTCCCATGGCGGGAACTCCAGGCGAGTTCTGCGTTGGCGCTGCCAATTGCTCACAGAAGAGAGGCCACAGTCCTGGAGGGTGTGAACGTAAGTCCACAGTCAAGGTCAGCGAGGGAAAGCCACTGCCACCCAGACCCTGCTTCCAGATGCAGAGGGAGGGGTCTCAGGACTCAAGTTCATCTTGAGGAAAGAGCAGTGAACGAGAGGAATGTGGCTTTAGTACCTTCAGTTCCCATCAGAACAACAACAACAATAATAATAAAGGCAAGTTCTTTTCACTTGCAGAAAATCATTCTGCCCAGAGAAAGAACACGTCCCTGCCCGCCTGGCTGATCCCTCGGAGGAGGGTATGAGGTCAAAGACAAGCACCTTCAGTGGAGTCAGCAAATGGAGAGCGAAGCTCCTCAGCCGGGCAGGGGCCGCGCCCGGCCTGGCTGCCCCGTGCCTGGCGCGGTAGGAACTCAGGCAGAGCCTGGAAAGGTCCGTGAAAGCGAACCAGGAAAAAAAAAAAATTTAAGAGTTCTGTCTTGAAATGTAGTCAAACCCTGTGTAACAGCCTCATCACAGGGGAGTAAACCGAAGTGGACCAAACACTCAGGACAACATGCTATGAGGCCTCCTCCCACGGTGGGGACCGGGAAGAGGGGGTGGCCCTTCCAGCCTTCTCCCTTCTCCCCGTCCCCCCCAGGGGCCAGGGGGCGAGCAGGGGCAGCAGGGAGCACCTCAGGGCCCTGCCCCCTGGTTTGCGGGGATGGGACTTACAGGTGGGCTGAAGGGACGAGAGGGTCTGGGGTCTGAGGAGGCTCCTCCTGCAGACACAGCCAGAGCCGGGGGTGGGGGAAGGGCCTTTGGCACTGCAGGTGGGCAGCGAGCACCCCCAGGGAAGCCGGCTTTGTGGTCCCAAAGGCATGGCAGCCAATGAACACCGACTCAGAGCCTCTGGGGCAGGACAGGGCCACGTCCTCTCCTGCAGGGGGGTGGGGAGGAGGCTGCCCCCTCACCCTCAGGCAGCCCGGCCCACAGGCAGCTCTGGGCCAGGAGCCGGAAACCCCGGGTCCTGGTTCTAGTCCCGTATGTGGCCGTGACTCCATGTGAACCACACCATCAACATGGGTGGGAGGGCTGCCTGGGTTCCTCCTGGTGAGACAGTCAGGGGGCATCGGCTGAGGGAGGAAGGGGAAGGAACTAGGAGAGCCAGAGAGGAGTGGGCAGCAGCAGCAGCAGGACAGGAGGCGCTGCCTGGCCCTCGGGCCCCTGTCCCCTGCGGGGGCCCCTGCTTGCTATGCTCAGCCTGACGGAGAACCAGCGGCTGGACTCGGAGCCACCAGGGCCCCTCCGGGCTGGCATGTGAGGCCACCCCAGCCAGCTCCATCTGCTCCCTACGCTCTCTCCCTCCGGGACCCCCGCTCGGGAGCAGAGAGCAGGGCCCGGGCACCCAAGGCTCTCCCTCCCCTTCCTAGCCCCCGAGTTCCCTCCTCTGTAAAATGGTCATCACATCACCCGAGAGGGCTGCTGTGAGGGTCAGACACGAATGCAACGTGCCAAGCACCGACTCGCTACTCGGCAGAGAGGCGCTCGGCAAGGAGTATGGCTGTTCACGGTCCTCGTTCAGACACACGCGGAGATCCTCGCTCTGAGTGGACAGACGCGGAGTGCCCCGGGCGGGGGCTGTCCGGAGGCTGGCAGCTGCTCCAGGCTGGACCCGGCCCTGCAGGACGGACGAGACTCCCGGGACAGAAGCTGGGAGGCGGCGGCCCGCGCGGACCCCCAGGCCCACGCACTCGGGGGGCAGCTGCATCCGGTCAGAGGCCTAGGGGCCGGAGGCCTCGGACAGGACACCCCCCTGGGATCGGCCACGGAGCCCCCTTCTACGGAGCCAAGTCCTTCCTGGTGCCGGGCGTTTGGGAAACGGGGTGAGAAAGTCACGGGCCTTTTGGACGTGGAGCGAGCTGTCACGGGCCGGACGGGCTGCCCGGGTCTGCCCTTCGCTGCGCGGGGTCCACGCACCGGGAGTCCTTCTGCGGGTTCTCCACGTGGCGGGTTCCGGTCCCGGAGGCCTGGGGGGGGCCACGGTCCCGCTGCCCGGCGGGCAGGGAAGCGGGGTGGCGGTGCCACCGGCCGTAAGGCAGGAGTACGAGCGGAGAGAAAGCCGGGGCGCGGCCGCGGTGCCTCCGGGGCCGTCTCCATCCACGGGAGGGAAGACGCCACAGCCCCCCGGAGCCTGCCTGCCTGCCTCGAAGCCGCGAGGACGATAAATTAAGAGGCGTATTAAATACGTGGGTGGGCCCGGCGGGGGCTCGGGGGCCTCCGCCCCGGGAGGCGGGGGGCTAGGGCTTCTTGCGGAGATAGTTGGAGGGGATCCAGCCTTCCCAGGCGGGCGCCCCGCCGAGGACCTGGCAGAACCACCAGCCGCTGCTGCTCTTCTCCCGCACCTCGAACACCGTCCCCTCCTGGAAGCTGCTGGCGTCCTCGTCCCCTTCGAAGCTGGCCACGGCCACGTACAGGTCCCTCGGGCTGTCGGCGCCGGGGAAGGGGGCGGCCGCCGCCGCCGCCTTCTCCCTGTTCTCCCCCATCAGCCTGCCCGCCACCCGCGGGCCCGGCCCGCCTCTCCCTCGGGGGTCTTCGGGGCCCCCCGAGGAGCTGGCCAGGAAAGGCTTGGCTTTGGGAGGGACCAGCAGGGCCCGGCCCGGGGCGGGGGGCGCCCTGCCTTCGCCGGCCTCGCGCTGCTGCGGCCCCGCGGGCTCCGGGAGGGGCCTGGGGGAGGCTGAGGCTTTCTTGGGGGGCGGCGGTCTGCGGGGCGGGATCACGGGTCTCTGCTGGGGAGCCTCCTGGGGGGCCTCTCGGAGAGGCACAGGCACACTCTTGGGCGCGGGATCCGCGGCCTTGGCCGGCTTCGGAGGGGGCCTGAAGGGGACCTCCCTGGGGCCGAGCCCGTCCTGTTTGCCCGTCCTGTCCGGAGCGCGACCGGGCCCCTCCCCGGGGAGGAAGCCGCGGCCGGGGGCCGCGTCCGGGCCCCCAGCAGCCTGGGGGCCGCTCTCCCCGTCCGGCGGGGGCTTCTCGGGCGGCCTGGCGGGCCGCAGCTTGCTCCTGAGGTTGCAGATGTCCAGCTGCTCTTCGCCCCGAGGCGCCTCGACGCGGGGGGAGGAGGCTGGCTTGGGCCTCACCTGAGGCTTGGCCTTCAGGAAGGGGTTCTGGGGGGCGGCCTCCGGCTTCTCCTCCGGCGGGTCGGCCTTGGGTTTGGAGATGGGCCGGAGGTCGGGCTTCTTCACCTCCTTGGCCAGCACTTTGTGGCCGCACTCCAGCCCCATCTCGTTCCTCAGCTGGAGCACCTTGCTCTTGTCAGGCTTGGGCTCCGGCTTCTTGACGTCCCGGGCCGGGGGGCCGTGTTTGGCCGGAACCATGGGCAGAATCACGCCGGGGGGCTTGGGCGAGGAGCCCCGGAGCTGCTCCAGCCGCTGCCGCTCGCGCTCCTGCAGCTCCCCTTCCGACTTGATGATGGACTCCTTCCGGGGAGGGAGGCTGGGCTTCTCCGGGGCGAGGTCGGCGATCTCCTCGTAGCCCGTGCCCGGCACGTCGGGGGGCGCCCTCCTCAGGGCCTCCTTCCCGCCCTTCCAGTCTTTGGGCCTCGGCACCCCGGAGTCCACGGCCCCGAGCGGGGCGTCAGGCAGGGGCCGAGAGGGGCCGCCCGCCTCCCCGCCCGCGCTGCCCTCCATCGCCGCCTCTCCCAGCCGCAGCTGCGCCATCTCATTGGGCAAGGGCGCCAGGAAGTTGGGCCTCGAGGCGTTGCTGGTCTTCTTGTACTTGTCGATGAAGGTTGCCGGGGCCCATCCTTCCTTGTCTTCGATCTGGATGTACCACCAGCCACTCAGGTTCTTCTCGATCACCTGGGCAGGGGGGGGGGGGGAGAGGAAAGCACTTAATAGATGTGGCTCCAGAGCCGGGGGGCCAGGGGGTGTCGGAGACCCACGTGCACCTGAGTCCCGGAAGCGGGGATGGGCACTCAGCAGGTCCCCAGACAACGTCTATGTGGACAGCAGCCTCTGAGACTATCCTGTGTCAGCAACATCGGCCGTGTGGGTGGGCTCCGGTCTAACTCTGGATTCCCCCGGAAGCAGGCCTTGACACACGGACACGGCACAGTTTGGGCGATGGCTTCAGGAGGTCACAGGTGAGGGAACGTGAGGGCCTATTATGAGCAGGTTTTGCCCTGGGCCACTGGGCTGCATCCAGCAGGGACCCTCCGAGAGACCATGCAGAATCAGACCTCCCCACGGGGGTGGAGGTGGGGCAGTTATCCCGGGACGCACAGTCCTTTCCCCCAGGGGCTAGTTCCCCTCTCTCCGGGTGGCGCCCTCAGGCTACCTGGGAGGGAGGAAGCTATCAGCTGCAGGGACCTGGAGCAGCTACAAGTCAACTCGGGTGGTTGGGATGCAGGACGGGCCCTCCCGTGGTGCCTGCAACAATTCTAAAGTTCAAGGTGAAATGCATAGGCCGCCCAAAGCAGCCCTGGCCGCTGTTCCTTTGGCTGAGCACAGACGGAGTGGCTGACGGGTGCTCACGGCCATGCTGCATGAGACATGTGTATCCTTAAAGGTGGGCACCTCACTCCGCTCACGAGTACACACAGGGGAGCTGATGATGATGGAGGCGAAACTCACCGCCTTCCCCCTCTGAGACACACACTCACTGAGGGGAAGGCTGGGTAGGTTCCCCCTCCGTATGTAAGATCTTATGTTACCCGTTGCCTTTCTTCCTTCTTCTTCTTCTTTTTTTTTTTTTTTTAATTTATTTTATTGATTTTTTAGAGAGAGGAAGGGAGAAGAATAGAGAGAGAGTCAGAAACATCGATGAGAGAGAAACATCGATCAGCTGCCTCCTGCCCACCCCCTACCAGGGATGTGCCCGCAACCAAGGTACATGCCCTTGACCGGAATCAAACCTGGGACCTTTCAGTCCGCAGGCTGACGCTCTATCCACTGAGCCAAATCGGTTTCGGCTACCCGTTGCCTGTCATTCAGTCCCATAGACCTAAACTAACATGGATGAAAGGTACCCCATGCTGCATGCTAGTAGCTGAGCTGGATCTGCCCAAAACTCATGTGGTAGCCCGGCCCTTAGAATGTGACTCTACTTGAAGAGCGAACCTTTAAAAGGTAATTAAGTTAAACGGGGTCACTAGAGTGGGCCTTAATCCCATATGACTGGTGTCCGTAGAACAAGAGATCAGGACACAGCAGAGAACATACAGAAGGAGGGACAACCATGTGAGGACACAGCGAGAAGAGGGCCACTGGCAGCAAAGGGGAGAAGCCCCAAGAGAAACCAACCCTGCGGACGCTGTGACCTTGGACTTCCAGCCTCCAGAACTGTGAGAAAATAAACCCATTGTTTAAACTAGCGGTCGCCAGCCTTTCAGACCTCATGGACCACCGGTTGTTGACTGCCGGCTTAAACCACCCAGACTGGTCTTCTGTGAGGGCAGCCCACGCCAATGAATACCTGGTCCTCTGGCAGGCTCTGTGCCTGCCATCTGACTGCCCCATGACATGGGGGTTATGATCCCATTTCACAGATGCAGCACTGAGCCTCAGGAGAGCTGAGGACTCGCAGAGGGTCAAGAGAGCTCTTGAGGCGGGAGTTCAGGTGGCCCAGAGCCTGAGCCCTGTCCCAGAAAGGGGAGGAGCCGTGCCAGGGTAATAAAATGTGGGCAAAGAGAGCGGCAGGCACAGTTCAGCTGCTGCATGCTGTGCCCAGCTCGGAGAGGGGGCAGAGGCTGGGCTCAGGGACATGCAGTCCCGGGTTCTGGTTCTGGCTTCACCACTTACTGCCCAGATGGCCCTGCACAAACCACATTCCCGAGGTCCCACGCCAAAGAGACAATGGTAAGAACAGTGACACCCGCCGTGGGTTTTCACGATGGCCACAGGAGCTAACGCACACAGCAGGTGGCTGGTGCGGAAAGGCAGACGTTGCCTCTTATGAAGTTACAGCAGGGATTACCGAGAGAGCAGGGCGCACGTGACTGGCATCTACCTAATTCCCATTGGACGCTCTCCAGAACAGGGCGCCGATACACGCGAGCCCTTCACCTGAGGGTGACTGGCATCCCTCCGACACTTGGTAGCTATGGTAACAATTAAAGGCGACTGTGGGCATGCAAGTCATTGTGGGTACATTCGTGAATTCAACCATCGTGCATACTAAGAGTAATCAAAATAAAATACATTGGTGAGGATTTGCCAAGCTCACACTCTGTAAAGTACTGTTGTGAAAGAGCTAAACATTTGTGTTCTTAATGATGACTTGTGGGAGTTTTCACTTACTAGAGAGAAGCTCAGAGCTGTTACGAGTAAAAGCAAATTCAAAATCAAAAGAGCGAGGAGGAAAGAAAAGGAGCCTGGTCTTCAAACCAAAGATACCTAGGTTCCAATCCCAGCTTCACTACTTACTCGCTATGGAACCATGAGCAATGTACCTAGCCTCTCTTTGTCTCAGGTACATCTGTGAAATGGGCTGAAGATACTGACTCCTCTCGGAACTCCTGTGAAGATGAGTATGTAATGTACCTGGCACAGAGAGGTGCCTACATCATCATCATCATTACACACGTTAGGAAGACACGTAGACCAGGCGAGGAGGTAGGAGCGCTGGTCGCGCCACTGCTAACACAATGTGGTTCTACTCGTGAGTTCTGAAGGCTAATGCGATACCGAAACGAACCGGGAAGCAAAATGAGAGAAGAGGAAAACAGAGGATGCAGAATTTTCCATAAGGAAAGAAAAAAAAAAAGAAAAAAAAAAGACATGGTTAAGCCAAAAACTTTATATAATGTTATTAACCAATGTTACTACAATAACTTAGAAAAAAAAAAAAAAAAAGAATCACGGGTAGGACACCAGGTTCGCTCACCTCGACTTTGAGGCCCGCCTGGAAGCTGATGCCATCGGGGATGGTAGTCTGGAACTCGGCGATGGTATAATACTCCTCCTCCACTTGGGGTGGGATGGGGGGCTTGGGCAGGTTGAGACCCCGAGGCTGGAATGATGAAACACAGGGCGAAGTCCCATGAAGCCCATTACCACGGCGCCGGGGGAGGGGCGATGCTGTGTGTGTGTGTGTGGGGGGGGGGGGGGAGGGGGTAAGCTCGCGCTAAGGGACTCCGGCACACGGTCATCCTCAAGGGGCGCTGGTGGACCCATGGACCAAACAAAGAAGACCACTCCGATCATCGTCTCCTAGATGGGTCCTGAGAGCGCAGAGATGAAACATTGGCCAACAGTCATGAAAATGTGAGGCAAGACAATATTCCCTGAACTGCAGAGGCAGCGAGGGCGGTGGAAAGAACATCTTGGGTGAGAATCTATTCCTGATTCTGTGTGTGACGGGGGACAAACCACACCCCCTCTGGAGCCTCAGTCTTCCACTCCTGTGGAATGGGGGTAATATCAGGGTCAGCCTGGTGGGGCCACTGAAACCACTCCACAAGGGAATGGAGTGGAGCACCCAGTAGGTGCTCACAAGGCTTGAAAAAAAGGCGGCTCATTTTTCAACGAATTGGTAAGAGAGATACACAAAGAATTTAAAAAAATGTATGTAAGTCAAATATCAGAATGGCACCACAAACGATATTTGTGTCTCTTCGCAGTTCCGGTCTTGAGTGACCCTGTTTGAGGAGACGGATAAGACAAAGGGAGGTGGGCTCAGGAAGCAGAGGGCACACCCTGAGGCCTGCCACAAAGCCACGGGCAACCTGACTTTCCACCCGTCAGTGGCACGTGCCACCTGCCAGCCTGCTACTCGAGGCCGCGGTGTGCCCGGGGAAGAAGGCATCTTGGGAAAGGGCGAGGTACGTGTGAGGGGCTGGTGTCAGGTCAGGGGCCACTTACTATGGTCATATCCCGGCGAGGAGGGGGTCTCTGCCTCATCTTGGGCGACCCTATAGAGAGAGGAGAGCGTGTGTCACACACGTGCGGAATTCTGCAGATAAAACTCCCGAGGGGGACACCAGGGAGGCCTGTTCCGACCTACACAAGATGGGGCATAACGGCCTGCACAGGCGTTAGGAGCCGTGTGACCCTTCCCGTGAGAAGAGCTGGATTCGGAAGGGGCTCAGGACACAGCGTGTGCTGGAACGCTGGAACGCTTTAGAGGAAGGGCAAACGTGGAGGCTTTATATGTTATTGATTTTTTACAGAGAGGAAGGGAGAGGGTTGGAGAGTTAGAAACATCGATGAGAGAGAAACATTGATCAGCTGCCTCCCTCACACTCCCTATTAGGTATGTGCCTGCAACCAAGGTACATGCCCTTGACTGGAATCGAACCTGGGACCCTTGAGTCCACAGGCCGACGCTCTATCCACTGAGCCAAACCGGTTAGGGCTAGAGCAAACCTACTTTAAACATGTCAACAGAACCAAACCAACTTCGGCTGATGACTTGAGGAATTTTTACTCTGGAGTTGGGGTTGCCCTCGCTCTGGGCCTCAGGGTCAGGAAAAGGGTGACTCTGCCGTGGTCCAAGGCTCCTGGCTAAAGGTAGGCTGAGAAAGGCGCCTCGTGCGTTGCCAGAGCTGGTTTAGCACGGGTCTACGCAGAGGCGTAGTTTGGTAGTTGGGTTATGGAGATGACCACTCATCTCTTAAATAACCATCTCCTCTGCCTTCTATTACAATAAATAGCAAGCATTTTAGCCAGACACTTAGCTGACTATATAAAGACTACATTTCCCAGACTCCCTTGCAGCTAGGTATTGCTATGGGACTAAGTTCTGGCCAATAGAATGTGAGAGAATGGGAATAAGGCAGCTTCTGAGTCAAGCCTGCCACTTCTCTCTGCCTCCTTTTCACTGGCTGGACTAGTGGTGAACCATCCTAGACTAGAGGGATGAGGGCACCACACAATGTATAATAGTCTGTTGACCCATGAACCAGGAGGTCACAGTTCAATTCCCGGTCAGGGCACAGACCCAGGTTGCAGGCTCGATTCTCAGTAGGGGAGAGGGGGGAGAGCATGCAAGACGAAACCAATCAATAATTCTCTCATGCTTCTCTTTCTCTCCCCTCTCCCTCCTTCTCTCTGAAATCAATAAGAATATATTTAAAGAATTACTTAAAAATTAAAGTAGGAAGTCCCTCAGAGGTGGTTATGTGGAGTCCATGAGAATGATGAAGATCCCAGCACAGCCGAAACCAGTTTGGCTCAGTGGATAGAGCATCGGCCTGCGGACTGAAAGGTCCCGGGTTCGATTCCGGTCAAGGGCATGTACATTGGTTGTGGGCACATCCCCTGCAGGAGGCAGCTGGTCAATGTTCCTCTCTCATCATTGTTTCTAGCTCTCTATCCCTCTCCCTTCCTCTCTGTAAAAAAATCAATAAAATATATATTTAAAAAAAAAAAAAAAAGATTCCGGGTGCACAGTAAGGGCTGGAGAAACAGTAGGTCTCGATTGCGGTGAGACCGTGAGAAAACAGGATCTGGAGTAGGAAAGCGGTGTTTCTCCACTCCGGCTCTGCGCCTTGCTGGCGGAATGACCTGGAACAAGCTACCTGGGGTTTCTGAGCCCCCACTTTCTTATCTGCAGGAGGAGGGGCAGTGCACGAGGAGCCGCGAGCCTAGAGCCTCGTCTCCCAACCCCCCAGCCTCCAGCTCCGGCGGGTGTCACTCACTCTGCTTGGCGTCGCCGTCTGGCAGCGGGCGGCCTTCGAAGCGGCCGTCCCTCTGGCTGCTGAGCGGCTCCCTCTCCCTGCCCGCCGCGTTCGGCGCCCGGGAAACCCCATCCAGGTCCAGGAGGCCCGTGTGGGCGGGAGAGCCGGAGCCCGGCTTCAGGGAGAAGGGCTCCCCGCTGCTCTTCTTCAGGTACGAGGCTGGGGCCCAGCCCTCTTTGCCCTGGTACCTGGGAGGAGGAGGAGGAGGAGGAGGAGGAGGAGGAGGAGGAGGAGGATGCTGGTCAGGGTGTTCTGCCAGGCCCACGGGGAGAAGCCACACGCCTGCTGTGAATCACATTTCCGGGCCCAGATGGCGGGAGTGAGGGTTACAAGGGCCCAGGGCCGAGGCTGGCACGCTGCCTGCCGCCTCCTGGCAAAGCCACAGCCCTCAGAGCTCGGCATGCAAGGCCGTTCCGACGTGGTCTCTTAATGCCTCCCAGCCTCGGCTCTCACACAGCCCCCGTGTCCCACCCACCCTGCTCGGCCTGCAGCCTCCCAAACGCGCTTTCAACCCCTGTCCCCCCCGTTCTTGGAGACCCTCTGCCTGCAAAGCCCCTTCCCCCGCCCCTCCCTGCTACCCCTCCCCAACTCTGCTTACACCATGTCCTCTCCGAGCCTTCCCCGGGCCTCACGGAGAGCGAAGCCCTCCCTCCACGGCGCCCAGTGGCCTGCACAGGCTGCCCTCGGTCTGCCTCCCAGGTAGAACGCGAGCTCTGGGCAGGCCAGGCTGGCTGCATCTGTGTGCGCAGGGCCTCAGAGCCAGTGAGGCGAATCCGTAAAAGGGAAAACTGCCCATGGGCTTGGCACGGGAAAGTGGCCTCCGCTGACATGCCTGCCCCTCACAGCCATCGCCGCAGGGACAGCAATAACGATAATGGTAACGGGCACTCGGAGGGCCCCTGCTGCCCCGTGCTATGTGCTTTGGAGCAGCCGATGGATCTCATCCATCCGATGCTGGGAGGTGGCCGGCGGGCTCTCAGCCGTAGGCGGCTGGCATCGGGTTGGGCCCCTAACCGCCATGCTCTGCTGCCTCTTCCCTGGCAACTCCTCCAGCCCCGGGCTCAGGGCGGGCGGGCTCTGTTCCCGCTGGTTACACATGCATTCCTGCATTCTGACGGGGATGGGGGATGAGGCAGGTGGGGACTGGTTCCTGGTCAGCTGGTTCCTGGTCACCAGGGTGACACCGGACCATGGAGTGACGGAGACCCTGACGGACCAGCTCACTGAGTTCTCTTTAGAACAGCGGTCGGCAAACTCATGAGTCAGCAGAGCCAAATATCAACAGCACGATTGACATTTCTCTGGAGAGCCAAAAACCGACTTTTGCGCCCGGGGCCACTAAGTTTCAGTCGCACCGTACGTGTGGTATTTTGTGGAAGAGCCACACTCAAGGGGCCAAAGAGTCGCACGTGGTTTGCGAGCCTCGGTTTGCTGACCACGGCTTTAGAATCCCGCAATTCTCTGCGTGGAACTCAGTTTAATGGCCTGACCCGTGGGGATGGTCTGCACCACAGGCGTCCTAGAGCTGCACACACGGCTGGTGACGGTCACCTGTGCCCGGCTCTTCTGAACAACCATGTTCAGTGACATCACGCGGGGTGCGTGAGATTGACCGTGGTGGGAGTGTTTATACCATGGACGTTAGCACGCAACTCAAGAGCATTTTCTCCCTGGAGAGCCGATGGTTAAACGTCTACCTGCGCGCGCTGGTCTGGTCAGCGGAAATTAGGGGCCCACCCCTGTGGGGGAATGGACACACCTAACTGACCAGCAATGATAGGGGACAGGGCCAAGTATCTTATTAAGAATTACTGGAATCTTCTCTCTCTCTCCCAATTTTATTTTTTTTGGGAGGCAACCAAATTTTTGGTGGCCTAAAAAGAGAGAGAGAAAAAAAATTACTGTAAAAAAAAAAATTACGGTAAGGCCCTAGCCAGTTTGGCTCAGTGGACAGAGTGTCAGTGCACAGACTGAAGGGTCCCAGGTTCGATTCCGGTCAAGGGCAACCACTGACATCTAACACAGATCCTGGAAGGCAGGTTCCATGGCCCTGGCCCGAGTGCATGCAGGAGGCAACCAACTGATGTCTCTCTCTCACATGGCTGTTTCTCTCTGTCTCTCCCTCCCCCTTCCAATCTCTCTAAAAAACGGAGGAAAAAAATATACTCGGGTGAGGATTAACAACAACAACAACATTACTGAACAAACTAAGTAGAACTGTGTTTCAGTGGAAAAAGGTCCTTTATAACTGAAAGCACGTTTATTTATAAGGAGATAGAAATCTGTGTCCGCCAATTCTAAAATACCTGCCCTTTGCGCAGGAATCAGCCTTGTCTGGGCTGGGAAATGTCAGCTGCATACCACCCGCAGCCTCAGCAGGAGGCAGGTCACCCAAGGGCACGCAGCCACCAGCAGAGAGGCAGCGCGTGCAGAGGCGAGTGGGCTCTGGGTGAGGGAGGCACGGGTTCAAATCCTGACTGTCCCTGTCTAGCTTTGGTGGAACCTTCAGATGGCCGCAGCCCTGGCTGGCATCACGCTGCAGCCTCAGGAGGGACCCGGAACCACCTACATGTCATCCTGAATTCCAGAGCCACCAGGTTTCAGGATGATGTGTCGTGCGATAAGATGGCATATACGCTCAAGATGTTATGCACCGAGGTCATACTCCTCCACAGACCCCAATTCTGGGGTTCCCCTCCCTCAGGAAGCCCTGTTTGGTGCTCCCGGCTCTACGTGTGTCTCTCCAGCACCCTGTGGGCCACCATGGATGCCCCTGCCCCTGAGCCTGCCGGTGAGAAGCAGTGTGGTTATCCCAGCCAACTCCCCAACGCCCAGTTCGGCGCTTGGCCCAGAACGGCGCCTGGTGTGTGTCTGTGGAATGAATGAATGGAGTGCCACACACTCAGCCCCCCGGGAGTAGCCCTAATGTCCAGCCTCACAGCACAGCAGACGCTGGGTCACGGGGACCCCAGGCTTCCTCCCTTGCCCACATTTCCTGTGGCCACAGCCTGGTTACTAGGGTGAGCTAGGAGGGGGTTGCCAGGACTCATTGCTACACCTGGGGAAGGAACCAGGCAGACCAGCACGAGCTGGCCGCTCTCCCTGCTCGTGGGTTCTGACGTGATCACACCGACGAAGGCGCTGGGACCAAGTGTTTAAAATGCTTCTACCCTCTCCCTGGACCCCTGCCCCCAGACTCAGAGACGAGGGCAAACGATGGGCTCTGTCCGTGTGAGGTTATGCGCCATACCGGCCGCAGGACGGGGCTGCGGTGGGAAACCCCACACACGGCGGCCCAGCCCCCAGTTCCTTGTGAAGAGGAACATCTGGAGGTGGAGGCCAGTCTTGCTCAACAGGGTGATAGCCATCTGCGGTTCGTTGTGTTTGGAGACGGTTTTTGCTTAGAATGGGTTTTTAGAGAAGGATCTGAGGCGGGAGGGAAGCCAGACAGCGCGGAGGAGAAACACCCTCTCAGGGCTCGGGCCCAACCCTCGCCCCCTCTGCCCCGGCTTCCGGACCTCGGTGCGGCCGGAGCCCACCGGACGGAAGCCCACCCACCGGCCGGCCGTGGGTACCTGATCTTCCACCAGCCTTCCAGGTTTTTCTGAATGACCTCCACCACGGCCCCTCGCTCCAGGTTCATCTCATCCTGGTCGCGTGCCGTGTATGGGTAGATGACCGAGTACTTCTCCTCTGCGGAGACAAAGGGGCCATGGGGTAAGTCAAGGACACGAAGGTCCCGGGACGCTGATGGCCAAGGTGTGATCCGTGAGCGGTCCTTGCCCATCAGAGGGACAGATCTCCCCCAGAGGTGACTGCGCGCACCCCCAGGCCCTCACGTAGCCCCCCACGACCCTGCACATGCAGCAACAGGACGCAGGGCCCAGGCCCCCATCCCTCAGCGTCACACGTTCCTCTCGCCCTTCTTCAAGTCTGTGCTTCAAGGTCACCTTCCATGACCTTGCCTCATGCAATGTTCAGTCCCACTGCATTCTCTTCCTTCTTACCCAGGTTTGTTTCTCTCTCCCCTCCCCACCCCAATACAAGGAATTCCGTCCTAACACACCATAAACTTATGCTTCCTCGTGTTTTGGGTCTGTCTGCCCTGCTGGTATACAAATGCCCTTGGAGGCAGTGATCCGTGTGTCTGTCTCGCTCATTCCTCTGTCTGCAACGCTGAGCCTGACACGAGGAATACCGAGTAACTGGTGAGTGAGTGGATGGTCCCAAAGGCCCGGAGGGAGCCACCTGCTCATGTCACAGGGGGCTAAACCGCCTGCGCTCCTCGCAGTCCTCACCGCGGAGGGGCACGGGTCTAGTCGCTCTGGCAGCTCCTGATCTCAGGCCGAGATTGCTACCAGGCAGATGGCTGGTCATTTTCATTACGAGGCTGGGAACGGATCTTCATTTTCCAGGACGTTCAGCCTCTGGAACCGACCATGCCTGAAGTTCCATTTCACTTTTTAAGTGAATATTTTTATTAAGACAGAACACTGTCAGCTTCAGGTGTGCGTCGTGATGATCAGATCTGTACCCATGGACGTACGCATCTCGCACAATGACTGCCTGCTTCAATTTTCATTACAATGATGGGGGCGCCTTCCGCCTCACTCTCTGGTCTCCTTTCCCGCTCCCTCCTGGGGCACCACCTGCCTCAGGCCTCCTCTGAGAGCTGCCTCCAGCCTCGCCCCTCCCACCCCTGCTGCCAGGGTGGCTGCTGTCACCCTCCGGGCCCTCTAGAGAGAACAGCTTCCTCCCCAGCCCTGCGGGCTGCGGCTGCTGAGCCAGGCGACAGCTGAGCGCCAGGAGAACGGGGGAGGGGGGGGGCTTTCCGGTCTTGGTTACATCCTGGCCCCTGGGGAGCGGCGAGCCAGCTGTGGGCTGGTGGGATGGTTAGCGTGCGGGCGCTGACTCTGCCTGTGGGAAAACACTGGGGCCTGCCCAGCTGGTGCAGAGGGAGGCGGGAGACACCCAGGGCGTTTATTTATTTATTGATCTGGCCCACTGACCTGCTCCTCGGGGCTGAGCTGACTCGAGTTGCACATATCCTGTGCGCAGCAGCGTCAGCTGCTCCCCTCGCTCCCAGCAGCTGCGGGTGGGGGTGGGGTAACTCAACCCTGTCTGTGCAGACATCCTGCTCGGTGGGGCCCCAGACTCAGTGCAGTTAGTCCTACGGGCCCTGGACTCCAGGGGCCAGCACCCAGAGTGAGCCTCCGGGGGCCCTAATAATGCTTAAGGCAGACCTTCCAGACTGAACGGTGGCGCTGAATGGCACCACGTCTCAGCGCCCACCTACCCATCCTGCTCCACCCACAGGGCGTGGGCGAGGTTGACCTCACCACCTCCTGGAGGGAAAGGAGGGAATGTGACCCTGGCCTGGCATCCCCCTGACCACCGACCACCGTGACAGATACAGGATGGTGTGGGACCCCCATGGGCAGCTGGAACTTCCTGGGATTTGTGTTGAAGGAGAAGCACCGTCTGCAGTGGGTGTCCCTGGAGGGGCCTGGAACTACGCTCGCCGTGAGACAGCGGTTCCAGCAAGGCAGAGAGCAGAGCAGAGAGGCGGCGAGAGTGAGGCTCAGCCCCTAGATCCAGCCATGCCTGAAGCTAGCCCTGCCCTGGGCTTTTCAGCAATGAGTCGATACACTTCCTTTTTGTTCACGCCGGTGTGACGTGCGTTTCTTTTCCTTGCCCTCAACTGTGCCCGAGGAAAGGAACAGGCCCCCGGCTCAGCCCCCAGACATCGTTTCTTAAACCCAGGCTCCCTTCCTCCCAAACCTACATGCCAACACACACACACACACACACACACACACACACACACACGGCACAGACACGACCCGTTCTCACATGCAGCAGGCACAGGCTGCCAGAGCAGGAGGCGCATGCAGATGCGAGGGCCCGGCTCCCAGCCCCGACCGGGAAGAAAGCTCCGCAGTGACAACCTTGCCGCCAGCTGATGGCATACAAGTCCCCCAGGGTCCGGCGGCGGCCCAGGGGCCGGGGCAGAGACCAGTACCTCCAGGAGCCTGGACGGGCAGCATGTGGGGGTGAAGGGCAGAAGGCAGAGGTGAGAAGAAGGCATTCCCAGCAGAAAGGGCACCAAGGGCACCAAGCGCGCCTTCCTGGCGAAGAGCACTTATTTCTGAGTCGACGCCAAGCCCAGGGGTCGCCCAAGGCCCAAGGTCCTGAGCATTACCCCTAACGCTGAGCGAAAAGGCATCTGCCAGACATAATCCTGGCCCTGGCATGATGACAATGAGGCCCTCAGAGAGGCCCTACGGCAGAGGGGAGAAAAGGTACAAACCCCAGGAAGCAGTGGTCTCCCTCCCCACCAAGCCTGTTTTCTCTCCTGTGAAATGGGGTGACGCCCAGCCCCTTGCAGAGGCGTGCGGCGTGGCGGTCACAAACTGTTTGGGGGAGCTGAGTTTCCATGCGGGCTCCCCCTGCCCCCTACCCCGAGCTGGTTCCGTAGTGTTCCCAGCTTAGCCCGGTCCCTACTGCCTCTCAGGTCCACAAACAGGGCAAGCCGACAGGCGTCTGAATTTCCCCCCGAGGCTGTGGGCCGTTATAAAACCAATCGCAAAGCCCCGTGTGACTCTGGTTGCCGACCTCTGAGCACAGAGAGATGCCGCGCCCTCCCACCCTGGGTTCTGACAAGCATCTATTACGAGGCTTTGCGCTTCCTCAAAAGTGGTCCACGCGCTGGGCGCTCAGGCCGGCATGGCTGTGTGATCCCCGTCCCTCGCTTTGAATTACGGGCGGAGGTTCTGTGTCAAGGGCTTTGCAGGTGGATCTCATTGAATAATAAAAAGGAGAACCTCATGGCGCAGATGTCACGCCCACTTTTTCGGAAAAGGTGGCTGCGCGGCAGAGGTTACGTCGCTGGCCCGGGTCCACTCGGTCAGCAAGTGGGCAGCGGAGGTTCGAGTTCCCGCCTGCCTGGCCCTCCCCCCCTCTGTTTACCAGCGAAGATGCACGCCTCCTCTTGTTTTTTTTTAAGGGAAGGGAGTCAGGGGGCCTCAGCGCTTCTGACACGGCAGGAGCCAGGCTTCGGGACACCCGTGGGGAAAGTTCTCGGGGAAATGGAAGCGTGTGTGGGGGTGAGTGAAGGGTCCTGACGCTCAGGATTTTCTTCTGACACTCAGTCAGGGCTGTTCTGCCAGCAGAGAAAGCAGAGCCCTTGGCAGATGGCTTCAGATGGCCTGCGAATGAGTGGAAGCAGCCCCAGGACCTTGGCCACCAGATTCATTCCAGGGAGGAAAACAGAGCCCAGGTCCCAAAGGCCCCCCACCAACTCCAACCCCATGCCCAGCTTCACGCCTCCTCTGAGACAGACGTGAAGAAGGTTCTGGGGGCGACCCCTGCCCCCCCACCCCCGCCACGGTGACGACCAGCACGGGGCTCCCCAGCAGGGGTGAGGCTCGGGCTCCCACTTACCTTCCTCCGGCTCCAGGGAGAACTCGTCCTGCCCGCCATCCTGCCCTTCGAGGCAGGTGGCGGGCACCCAGCCTTGCTCTTCGGCGGTGCTGACGAACCACCAACCTGCAGAGACAGCGCAGACGGGTGTTAGCGGGTCAGTGTGAGGTCTGGGTGTCAGAGTAGCATGGCACATTCAGGCACCGGGTGCGTCACACTCAGCCTAGGCTCACGGGCCTTCCTATTGGTGGGACACAGCTAGCCGTGTCCACTGACGGCTGCGGAGGGGACGGGGAGGGCAAGGGCGTCCTGAACAGCGAGAGCCGTCCACTAAGGTGTGCCCGGTACGAATCACTGTACTTGCACCGTCTTTTAGCATCTTCACGTGACCGTCCTCACTGCACAGAGGAGGAAGCCGAGGCCCCGAGGGGCAGACAGGCTTGTCCCAGTTCTCTCGGCGACGGTGGGGCTGTGATGGGCAGCGGGCTGTGTGATGCGGAAGCCTCTGCCCTCGTCACGCACCGGGCTGAGCATCCGTCCGTGTCAAGGTCAGCCGGCTGCAGAGGTACCTGCTTGAGAGGCCTCTCACCCAGACCCAGGCCCCCCCTCTTCAGAGAAGTCTCAGGAAGCTTGTGCTGGGCGGAATAATGATCCACCAGAGATAACCCTCAGAGTCCCCAGAACCTGTATCACATGAAAGGTGGCAGACGGGATTGAGGTTGCTAATCAGACAACCTTCCAACAGGGAGATGACCCTGGATTAGCTGGCGGCCCACGTCATCGCCAGGGTGGGAACGATGGAAGAGGGAGGCAGAGGGGCAGGGGGCGCTGTGGCTACGGAAGATGCACCACACTGCTGGCTTGGCGGATGGAGGAAGGGCTGCCCCTCTCCCTCTCTCTCTCTTTCTCTCTCTCTCTCACACACACACACACACACACACACACTCACACTCTCTCACACACACACACACACACACACACACACACTCACATTCACACACTCACACACACACACTCACACTCACACACACACACTCACATTCACACACACACACACACACACTCACACTCACACACACACTTACACACACACACTCACACTCACACACTCTCTCACACACACACACACACACACACACTCACATTCACACACTCACACACACACACACTCACACTCACACACACACACTCACATTCACACACACACACACACTCACACTCACACACACACTCTCTCAAACACTCACACACACATACACTCTCTCACACACACTCTCTCACACACACACACATACTCTCACACACACACTCTTACACACACACACACACACTCACATTCACACACATACACACACACACACACTCACACACACTCACACTTACACACACACTCTCTCAAACACTCACACACACATACACTCTCTCACACACACACTCACACACACATACTCTCTCACACACACACTCACACACACACACACACTCACACACACACACACACATACTCTCTTTCACACACACACACACACACACACACACTCACACACACTCACACACTAACACACACTCACACACACATACTCTCTCTCACATACACACACACACACACACACACACACACACACTCTCACTCACACACACACACACGCACACCTTGCTCTGCGCTTCACTTTACTGCACTTTGCAGACAGCACATTTATTTTTTTTACAAATTGAAGGTGAAGAAGACCCTCCAGCAAAAAATATGTTTTGCTGGCTGAAGGCTCGGGTAATGGTTAGCATTTTTGTTTTTAGCAACAGATTACTTCTGACTTGAGGCATGTGCGTTTTTAGGACCTAGTGTTATCTATTGACCATAGTACAGTGTCAACATGACTTTCCTAGGGCTTGGGAAACCAATTTGTGCGATCGCTTTACTGGGACATTTGAGGTATTTACTGCGGTGGTGTAGAACCAGACACGCAGTACCGCGAAGGCGTGACCTTACGCACACACGTAGGCACACACACATACATGTGTGCTGTGTGCATACAATGATCAAGAAGAAGTCATACCAACACGATAAAAGGGTGATCTGGGGTGGGGAAAGGGACTGGGGCTGAAGCTGGTGGGAAAAACAGACTTCCGCTTCATCAGGAATGCTTCCGGGGATGTATCCGTGTGTACTTGGGTAAGTAATAACTCTTAAAAAGAAAAAAAAAAATATATATATATGTATATATACATATACATATATATATATATATATTTTTATTGATTTTTTTTACAGAGAGGAGGAGAAAGGGATAGAGAGCTAGAAACGTCGATGAGAGAGAAACACCAACCAGCTGCCTCTTGCACACCCCTTACTGGGGGATGTGCCCGCAACCAATGTACATGCCCTTGACCGGAATCGAACCTGGGACCTTTCAGTCCACAGGCCGACGCTCTACCACTGAGCCAAACCGGTTTCGGCAATAAGTAATAACTCTTACTTGAAGATTTCACTATCTGCCTCCTCCCCCGCCCCCCGCTGCCCTGTGGACACACCAGGCTGCTCTCCCACCCATCCTGGCTCCCATGCTCCTTCTGCCACGCATTCGCTCTGACTTCACTCGGCGGGCGGCCCGGGGGAGCGGGTGCGCCTCCTCCGTCCCCAGGAGCACCCGCCACACCAACGATCGGCATGAACTCATTCCCGGGGACTGGAAAGCCACGTGGCCTGTGGCCAGCTGGCACAGGACAGGAATCCCAGCCCCGGGTCCTGCGGGGAGACTGAGGGAGAGAGACCGAGTCACGGGGAGTCTTGCCCCTTCGGCTGTGAGGCAGGGGCAGCCATCGCCGGACTGAGTCACCGAGAACTTTCGGTCGGCTATCCCGATCTCACGCGAATGGGAACGGAATCCACATGCTGCTGGAAACAGGGCCTTTCCCTCACTTTTTGGACTTTCAACGGGCCAACGGGGTATCGCAGAGGCCGGCCAATGTCACATGTTAGTCACAACAGAGCCAACTGACTTGGCTCACTGTTTGCTAGAGGGGACCCACTCGGCCTCTGCTCTCCACTCTTTTTTTTTTTTTTTTTAAATATATATTTTATTGATTTTGTACAGAGAGGAAGGGAGAGAGATAGAGAGCTAGAAACATTGATGAGAGAGAGAGAGTCATCGACCAGCTGCCTCTTGCACACCCCCTACTGGGGATATGCCCGCAACCAAGGTACATGCCCTTGACCGGAATCGAACCCGGGACCTTTCAGTCCCCAAGCCGACGCTCTATCCATTGAGCCAAACCGGTCTCGGCTGCTCTCCACTCTTTGCCTTTAGCTGTGCCAATGGCTGCTTTGTGGCTAAGGAAGGCAAAAGGGAAGGAAGCTCACTCTTTTAAGTACCTACTGTGTGTCCAGCATATACGATCTCAACTCTCCATACGCTCTCTCATTTCCCCCTTTGCTTTCCAGATGAGAGAACTGGTGCGAGAGAAGCAGCCACTGGACTGGCGTGAAGTCCAGGCTTCAGACAAAGGCCCAGGCCAGGGGTCTTGATCGGACCCCATCTGCCCCGGACCTGGCCAGGGCACATGGCCCGTAGTAGCCGCGGAGGGCAGGTGCGCTGGGGAGACAGGCGGTGTGCCCGGTCCATACCAGAGCCCCCAGCTGATGGGACTCCCGTCGTCATGAAATCACCAGGGCAAATTCTCAGTGGAACGCTAGATTCTGTGTCTCCAGGCGCTCTGAAGCCAGGAGGAATGTTCGTGAAAAGTGAACCTCAAAACACAAGGGTAACATCTGACCCAAGCAGGAGATCCGAGCGCTGGGACCCAACAGGAGTCAAACGGGCCGGCCTGATTGGCGACAGCCTCTGCGCGTCCCCGTGTTCCTGACCGAGGGGCCTGGGGAGGGGGGTGGGCGGGGAAGGGGGTGGTCAGGGTGCCCACCTGACTCGTTCTTCTCGATGATGTCCACCACCTGCCCCACGCTGAGGCTGATCTCCGAGCTCTCCTGCTTCTGGTAGTCCGCCACCACCACGTACTGCTCCAGGACCATGGGGTCCGCCGAGGTCTGGTCGCTCCCTGTGGATGTAAAACCCCATCAGATGCCACCGCCCGGTGCACAGGAGCAGGAGCCGGGAGGAGGGGAGGCCAGGAGAGCGTTCTACATAGAGGGAGGAGCTGTTAGAGGACTCGCCTCAGCCATTCATTCTTCCATTCATTTGCTCACTCGACCACCACAGTTTACCATGTGCCCGTCCTGTGCAGGCCCTGTGCCGGGCACGGGAGGCTCAGAGCAAGATACGGTACTTTCCCTGAAGAAGCAGACAGCCTACTGAGAAAGTTCATTCATTCATCTCTACCCATTCAGCATCAGCCACGATTCACCCATCCGTCATCCATCCAACCAAACATGTATCCATCTATCATCCATCACTCATTTTCCCAATCATTCACCAACCATGAAGTGGTGAAGTAAGCCACCCAAACTTACTCATCTATTAATTCATGGGATCACCAATGACATTCGAGACACTCTATTAGGTGCTGATTGGGAGTGCTACAGTGGACGAAAAAGGACGGACTCCGAGCATTCTTGAACCTAGTCCAGTTGGGGTGAGAGACACATTTTCAGTGTATGGGATCCATAAGCATATAGGGGAAAAGTATTCCTTTTGGATACATGCGTTTCTGGAAACACAGGATAAACAAGATAATGGGATGGTCAGCAGACCTCTCCGGGAAGTGACATAAAGCAGAGACCCGAGGCCAGGAGGCAGGAGGACAATGGGGAGAGAACGAGGCAAGCAGGCCGTGTCTGTGACGGGGGGAGGCCTGGAGCCTTCCAGGGCCGGGAGGGAGGCCAGGGTGGCTGAGGCCCAGAAGGGAGGACTTCAAACACTCTTTTTTTTTTTTTTTAACCCCTAAAGAAGAACCGAGAAAGGGACTTAAGAAGAGAGTAACACTCTGATCTTTAAAAAGATCACTCTGGCTGCCTCATGGAGAATGGGCTAGAGGCTGGCAAGGAAGAAAGCAGAGCGGCCCTTGCCAGTTTTGCTCAGTGGTTAGAGCACCAGCCTATGGATTGAAGGGTCCTGGGTTCAATTCCAGTCAAGGGTACCTACCTTGGATGTAGGTTTGATCCCTGGCCCTAACCAGGGCTATGTGTGAGAGGCAACCAATCGACATGTCTCTCTCTGTCTCTCACCTTCCCTTCTACTCTCTCTAAAAATCAACGGAAAAATATCCTTGAGTGAGGATTAACAAAACAAAACAAAACAAAACAAAACAAAACAAAACAATCAAAAAAACAGGAAAAGCAAAAGAAGCAGGAGACCAGATGGAGGTCACGGAGCTGTTAGGCCAGAGCTTTGTTCCAGGGCAGAGTGAGGGGTGGAGGGAGGAGGGGAGGAGGGGCCCTAGGAGAGGCCACTTCCCAGGCCGCAGTGTCCAGTGTGGACGGTGAGCTGGGCAGCCCTGGGTCAGGTCTCAGACGATCTGATAAACGGAAAGAAACCACAGACTACGTGTGACGTGAAAGGTCAGACGAGTCTAGACAGTCCCCAGAGAAGGGGACCGCACGTCTGGAGCAGCAGGCTGGACGCGGTGGGAGGGCCACGTGACATCTGTGGCCACCGGGCCCTCGTGCCCTGCACATGCTGATCCAAGACATTCCCTCCTCTTGTTTCCATAAACAACAGGAACATTCAGGAACCCCTCAGTCTGTCCCAACACTCCCGTGGCGGAGGGGGGTGAGGGCGGCTCACACCGAGCCGGTTTCCTGCTCCTCTCCCCGACTCTCTCGGGTGGCGTCCCGTTGGGCATTTGCAATGGGCCACGGTGGGAGCATTGACACCACGGAGCCGGCACATGCTACAAAGCCGGGTGACCACCAGAAGCTGCCTGTGAAGTCGCTCCCAGCACGCCCTGCACTCCGCCCCGGGCGTCCAGAGCAGCACAAAAGCGCTCTGGTAGAGCCAGCCACTGCGGGTTCTTCATGTGGAAAACCAGAGCAGGGCATGCTAGCCCGATGAAGGGTCACCATATTCTTCCTCCAGGACGGGAGAAAACGTCCCACGAAATCTCGCTCACCTTCACATTCCCAGGGGACCTAGAGTACCGTCAGGCACACAGTAGGTGCTTAATAAACGTCCTCTATAATAAAAGCCCAATATGCAAATTGTCCCCTCCACCAGGTGTTCGACTGCTCACTGTGACGAGTGCTGACCACCAGGGGGCGGCGCGGAACATGGCGGGCATAGGTGATGAGGCACGGGCAGCAGGCAGCAGTGGAGGTGCTGGCGGCCCCAATGGGCTTCTGGGTGAGCTGGGCCGCAGCTGCCAGGACCTCAGGGGCCAGTCGGGCTCCCTGTGGGTTCGCACGGGAGCCCGTCTGCAAGGCTGTCCAGGAGAGAGCATGCTGCCTGCCCAGCTTCTGTGTGGCACTGCTGGGCGGCCCATGGCATCTGGCCGCACTCGCTGCATCTCCGTGTGGGGACTCGGGCACCGTGACTCAGGCGGAGGGGGGTGTGTGGGGGCCCAGGAGCTGCCCAGGGCCCAGAGGTCGGCTGGGACCTGCCCTCCCATGCCATTCGCTCACGCTTTAATCACTGGCCAGGCCTAGGGACCGCATTGTGCACGAATCTCATGCACTGGGCCTCTAGTGGAATGCATAGCCATGGTTGTCTTGTTCTCTCAGCACTTAGCACAGATACATTCAATGGATATTTGTGAAGTGAATGAGCAAAGGGCAAATGGAAACTTCTAGAAACTCTCCATTCTGCACCAACTCTCCTAACCGGGCTGCCAACGGGATCTGGGATAATGCAAGCAGTGACAAAATCAGGGAATTATGGGACTCGCTGTGAACAAGAGTCGTTCCCTGCCAAGGAGTGGTTCAGAAGAGGGTGTGCGGGGTTGCTTTTTCTACACCAGCTCTTCCAGAGCTGCTGCCTGCATTTCACCCACAGTGCTCAGCGCTCAGCGTATCAAAACCAGGCACACCAGGGGTTTGACATACCAGCTTCTCAAACTAGGCTCCCGGCCATTTAGGTGTTATGCAGAGACACCTGCTGGTGGACTGTGATACTGCAGCCAAGCTCTATAACGCACAGTAAGGGCAATGCCTAGAAGTTAATATGATAGTTCAGTCCTAGGAGCTAAGTGTGAGAGCGAGTATTCCTAGGTAAGCAATGTCATTCTTGTGGTCCCGCAGGGCATAGAAGGAAAAGGCGAGCAGAAAGGAGGAGATCTCACAGAGGAAGGGTGATGTCATCATCAAGGAAGTGCTATAAAATATTCTCAAGAGGCAAGTGCCTAACCCCCAGAATTTTCTAGTTGGCCATGTTTGTTTTGTTTTTAAATACATTTTTGTTGATTTCAGAGAGGAGGAGAGAGATAGAAACATCAATAATGATAGAGAATCATCAATTGGCTGCCGCCTGCATGTCCCATACTGGGAGCCTGCAACCCAGGCATGTACCCTGACCGGGAATTGAACCGTGGTCTCCTGGTTCATAGGTTGACACTCAACCACTGAGCCACACCGGCTGGGCCCTAGCTGGCTATGTTTTGATTCAAGATGACATGTTTTGAAATTTAAAAATAACTGCTATGGATAAAAGTGGACTCTTCTCCCTGCTCCACCCCCAAAGCCATCTGTTGAAGGTCTAACCACTAAGTGATGGTCCTAATTTTTTGATAACCAAAAAATTAGATTAAATGTGGTCATGAGGATGAAACCCTCATGCTGGGGTTGGTGCCCTTGTAAGAAGATCAGAGAGAGTGCTCTCCGTCTCTACATGTGAGGACATGGCAAGAAGGCAGCAGGCTACATGCCGGGAAGAGGCCTCTCTCCAGACCCCAACCATACCCTCCACCTCTGTGAGAGAGCAAGTGTCTGCTCTCTAAGCGGCCCCAGCAAACCAATACAATGAGCAATAACTAACAAAGCAGAATATTCTTTCCAGATCTACCAAATAACACTGCCAGTCTTGCTCCGCGTCAGTAAATGAGAGAATACCTCAATAAGAAGGTAGAGTCCCAGCTGGTCTGGCTCAATGGTTAGTGTTGGCCTGGGGCCTGAAGGATCCTGGGTTCCATTCTGGTCAAGGCCATGTACCTCAGCTGCAGGCTCGATCCCCAGCCCTGGTCAGGTTTATGTGGGACACAACCAATTGATCTCTCTCTCTTATATCACTATTTCTTTCTTTCTGTCTTTTCCCCTCCCTTTCACTCTCTCTAAAAATCAATGGGAAAATATCCTTGGGTGAGGATTAACCAAAAAATAAAAATAAGATAAATAAGAAGAGGGTAGAGAAATCAGGAAGAAAGATGCTCCTTAGATAATCACACGATCTGTGACATGTTGGTGGAGAATTTTTTTCGGCAGGATGAGCAGAACTGGAGACCACATTAGCCAAAGTCTGCAGGAGCCAGCCACGCCAGCCAGGCCTGGGAAACTCTGGAGTCAGATAAGCCTTCTCCAGCTCAGTTCTGGCCCAGAAATCTCAGGGCTTGGCTGTCAATCTTAAGTCCCTTTCAAATTCCAGCAAGAAGCCTGGGTCTCGCCCTAGTTGGTTTGGTTCAGTGGACAGAGCTTCGGCCTGTGGACCGAAGGGTCCTGGGTTTGATTCCAGTCAAGGGCACATGCCTGGGTTGTGGGCTCGATCCCCAATAGGGGGCTTGCAGGGAGGCAGCCGATCGATGATTTTATCTCATCACTGATGTTTCTATTTCTCTCCCTCTCCCTTCCTCTCTGTAATCAATAAATATATATGTATATATATTTTGTTGATTTTATCAATATATTTTATTGATTTTAGAGAGGAAAGGAGAGGGAGGGAGAGGGAGAGGGAGAGAGAGAGATAGAAACATCAATGATGAGAGAGAATCATTGATCGGCTGCCTCCTGCATGGCCCCTACTGGGGATTGAGCCTGCAACCCGAGCATGTGTCCTGGGACTCTTGGGTCTGCAGGCTGATTCTCTATCCATTGAGCCAAACCAGGTAGGGCAATAAAAATATATTTAAAAAAAAAAAAAAAAAAAAAAGGAGGCTGGGTCAAACTCAAGGGCGAGCTCAAAGGTCAGCTGAAAAGCAAGGCTACGTCCGGCGTGGGCTCTTCGTCTGAAGGAAGGAGATGCTCTTTTCCCGGCGGGACTATCAATAGACCCGGGCCCCCTCATTGCAGGGGGGGATGCCACAGCGGCTGCCGCAAATTAGAGCTGCTCCTCTGACTCCCAGACAGTCCCCTCGCCCAGCCCCCCGACGGGACACTGTCTCCGCAGGCCTGAGCGGTCTCTCCTCCGCCTCCCGCCCCTGCCAGGAAAGGCCTGCACGCCGGACGCCAGGACCTCTGTGACCAGCCGACAGCGGCCGCTCTGCTCTTTTCTGGGAAACGTGTCATTACCCCGGGCTCTGGGGCTATTTGCAGCCGGAGCAGGGGCCGCGGCGGGGCCAGTGCCTGTCAGACCAGACAGGAGCGGTAAACAGGCTGCTGGGCACGGGGCCAGAGTTCATGTCATAGCCAGCCCTCGAGGCAAAGAGAACACCCCTCTCCACGCTCCCTGGCGAGAATGGCGCCGGGGCCTGCACGGGGGACCAGAGCTGCGGAAGCTGCTACTGACGCTGCTCTGAAGGCCACCCCCGGACGCTGCATTCACAGCACAGTAGACAGCAGCAAACACGTATCAGCTACAGCACGCCAGGCACTGCTCCGAGTGAGTGCTTTAGCTGTGTTCCTGTCTATAATAATGAAAGTGTAATATGCTAATTAGACCAGACATTCTTCCAAATAAAGCTGGGAGAAAGAAGGCCTACTCTTGCATGAATTTCGTGCATTGTGCCTCTAGTAATATAATAATCGTTTTAGGTGCATTTATCCTGTTATTATCCCCATTTTTCAGATGAGGAAACTGAGGCCCAGGGAAGGAGGCATCCTTTTTTACTTCTAGGGCCTCTTCCAGGCCCCCTCCCCCATTTTTATCAACCTCCTCAAACTTCCTGGAGTCCCAGATAAACAGAAGAACTCAGAATTCTGGGAACTCTGAAGAACATGCTGGCCCAGGTGTGGTGTGGGCTGGGCCTCTGCAGATGTGGGTCAGTTAAACCACTACAGACCCCTCCAAGGTGTCCTCTGGGAAATAGGACTCATCCACTCTGTAATTTTTTTGTATAAGAGGACACCACCCTGGCTGGTGTGGCTCAGTTGATTGAGCATCGTTCCATGCACCAAGCGTTCCCTGGTTCGATCCCGGTTTGATGCCTGGGTTATATAAGGGGCATACAGGAGACAGCCAGTCGACATTTCTCTCTCACATCAATGTTTCTCTCTCTCTTCTTCTCCTAAAATCAGTAAGAATAAATAAATAAAAAACCATCAAAGATGGAACACCCGCTAATCATTTTTTTTGGGGAAACAGGATGTGTTATCAACCAATTAATCAAGTATCCAACCATCCATCTAACATCCATTCATCCATCCATCCATCATCCATTAATTCATCCATCCATTCATCCATCCATCCAGCCGCATCCCCGGTGTGGAGCCCAGGGCCTGGCACACACATCCCAGATGCTCCGTGGGGGTGCGCTGTACATTGGATGAATAGGAGAAAATGGAAAATATTCTTACCAGATTTCTTTTTCCCAACATGCTCCCTGTACAGGAGAGAATGGGGTGAGAAAGAGCCAGTCAGTACCTGTTGTGTGTTGACATAAGTTAGTCTGTTAGAAAACTGAGATTCTCCTTCTCACAGTGTCTCCAGGCAATGAATAAAATTTAAGCCAGCCCTAGGGTCTTGGCTGCCAATAACCCCATGAGGTAGATGGAGCAAGGGACGTGATCTCATTGCACAGATGAAGCAATGGAGGCAGGAAGGGCGGGAGGGGTAGGGGCCTCGGGGCCCCTAGCCAGCGTCCTTCCCCTGTGAACGCTGACTGTCTCACCCCTGGGCGTGGGTGAAGGCTGCGTGAAGCGTGGCCCACTGGGGGCCCAGACAGCAGCATCGGCTTGGTTTTTCCTTTGCTTCCCTCCAGCTCCGCCCGGGGCTGGCTGGGCACGCTCCGGGGAGGCCCACAAACCAACTTACTCTTTGGGGGGATTCAGGTCCTCAGGTCTCGTCTCAAAGAACTGCAGCACCTCGTCACATTGGGAGATGTAGGGGGGCAGCTGGATCAGGGCCTGGAGAAGAGACGGGGGTGAGTGCGAAGGCAGCAGAAGCAGGGAGGGAGGGGGTGCTCGTTAAAGCACAGATGGCGAGGGCTTCACCCCAGATTTCCCGATTCAGGCCTGAGAACGTGCATTTAAAAAAATTTTTTTTAAATACATTTTATTGATTTTTTACAGAGAGGAAGAGAGAGAGTTAGAAACATCGCCGAGAGAAAAACATCGCCCAGCTGCCTCCTGCACACCCCCCACCAGGGATGTGCCCGCAATCAATGTACATGGCCCTGACTGGAATCGAACCTGGGACCTTTCAGTCCGCAGACCGACGCTCTACCACTGAGCCAAACCGGTTCCGGTGAGAACGTGCATTTCTAACGGTCCTTGCTGCTGCTGCTGCTGGTATGGGGATCCCCCAAACGCCCCCGCCCCCCACCCCGTGGATGTACAGAGTTGGGGCAAAGTAGGTTTACAGTTGTGACCACGCAAAAACAGTCTATTCTTCTATTATTATTATTTTCATTTTTTTCTATTACTATTTCTTAATTACTAGAGGCCTGGTGCATGAAAATTCACGCACTGGTGGGGGTGGGGTCCTTCAGCCTGGCCTGCCCTCTCCCACAGCCTGGGAGCCCTCAGGGGCAGGGGCAGGTGTCTGTCCCCTGGTGACCAGCCCATTTCAGCCTGGTGACCAGCCTCTTACACACAGCGTCTGTCCTCAGGAATTTCCTCTCTTCTCAAGGCTGAACAATATTCCACTGTACGGATGTATCATGCACTTTGAGGGGATGCTGACCCCCACGTGACCTTTGAGCCAGGCTCTGAATTTAAGCCCCTCCCGCCCGTGTGATCTGGCCCGTGAGCTGAGCGCACCTCACCTTTTAGGGGGGCGCCTTCCCTGGTCACTGCCGACTCTCTCCGGGGGTGGGGGCTGCTGACCCGGTAGGGGTGGCTCATTCCTGTTTTGCATTAGCTTCACGTGATCCCTATTTCAGCAAACCCCCAGGCTCCGAGCTGCCCCAGGCCAGAGGCAGAGAGCCTAAGAGGGAGAGAGCTCTGCCCCCTCCTAACTGCCCCCCTTCCGACCGCCTCCTGCTGCCACCCCCACCCCCTCTTTCTGGCTCAGAGAAGCCTGGGCTCTCGCTCTGCTCAGGTTGAGCTGCGTCCCAGGCCCCGAGGTGTGGGGGTGTCTGTCCTCTGAGATCCTGCAGCCCCTGCAGTCGGAGCCGCATGGCGAAGGCGCTGATGACACGCTGGCCGGGGTGCGTCCTGGCCACCTCGTGGGCAGAACCTCAGGGTCGCGCCCGGACAGCAGGAACAAGTCCTTCACGTCGGCCCAGCACACAGAGGCCCTGCACTGCGGTCGCCGGTGCTGCCCCGGAGCTCCCGGAGTGCTGGCCCCTTTCGGAGACGGGGAGTGGACGCTCGGGGGTCATGCCCAGGACCTCCACCCAAACCCAAAGGGGTAGGGGTATGTGGCTGCTCCTCACACCTCCCCTGCATGTCCAGACGCCGCTGGAGACCCATACCGGGTGGAAAGAACCCACTGCACAAGTGCCCGGGGAAGAGGCCCAGAGGTGGCCCCGCGGCCCTGTGTGGGGCCAGCTGGGTGGGCCCTGAGGTGCCATGGTCCCCACCCATGGGGGCCTCCCGGGGGCTCCCTGCTGAGACAGGCGGAGGCTCTGAACGGGGCGGCGAGCCCCACGGAAACCTCCCACCAGCGCCAAGTTCTCTCTCGGTTTTGAGGAATTCCTAAGAAGTCAAAGCCAAACCAAACCCCCAACCACACAAGGAGCCAAGTCACTAACGCACGGCAGCACCGAGTGCTGGGATGTGCGCCCTCCGTGACGGAAGGGCAGGCGACAGTGACAGCATGGCCGGGGCAGGGAAGTCCAGACACCTGTGGTTGGTCAGCGATGTCCAGCCACCAGTTCCCCGAAAACCTTCTGTCCTGGGTGGACGCTGGCCCCCTGGGCAGAGGTGGCTGGTCGACGCAGGGCAGAGAGGAGATCAAGTCCTACTGGCCAAGGGGGACAGGAAAGGTCAGACAGACCCAGCGCATGGTCCTGGCTCTGGCCAGTCCCGCGCCTCGCTGACCCTCAGTGTGCTCCTCTGTAAAACGGAAATAACCAACCCATCTCGGGGGACTGAGCTACAGCACAGGCGAGGACGTGGCGGTGAGGGTCCCAGCGTGTGCAGGTGCTCGGGGACCAGTCTGTTCACCCCCGGGCTGGCTGTCCTGCAGCAAGCACAATGCTGTGGTGGCCTCCAGGGAGGACTCTCGAGTCAGCAAGATGACTGTGGCAAGTAAAGAGGCCTGGGCTCGGCGGTTTCCCCGGGCTCTCCAATCCTTTTCCACTTCAAAAAGAATGCCCCTGAGAGTCAGCTTTCTCTCTTTATAGCTGAAAATCTTCTTCTTCTGGGGTCAGAGCACTTAGCATGAGATCCCCCCCTTTCACACATTTTAAGCACACAGCGCTGTGCTGTTGGCTGTTGTACTGGGAATCTCTGAGCTTCTGCATCCTGCTGACGGAAACACTGTGCCTGTTGGTGAGTAACTCCCGCCGTCCCCTCCCTCAGCCCCCGCCCACCATTCCACTTCTTCATTCTAAGAATCCGACTCTTCCAGAAACCACAGACAAGCAGAACCCCACAGCGTCCGTGTCTCTGTGACGGGCTCATTTCACTCAGCACAATGTCCTCAAGGGCCACCCAGGTTGTCACAGGGGTTGGGGTTTCCTTCTCTTCTTAAAAAAATTATTGTTATTATTTAATCCTCGTCCAAGGATATGTTCCCATTGAATTTAGAGAGAGAAGAAGGGAGGAGGGAGAGGGAGAGAGAAACATTGATATGAGAGATTAACATGGATTGGATCAGCTGCTTCCCATAGGTGCCTCGACCAGGGATCCTGGGACGGGAAGTCTGGGTGTGTGCCCTGACCGGGAATCGAACTCGAGACCTTTCGGTGTACAGGACGATGCTCCCACCAACGGAACCACCGGCCAGTATTTGAGCGCATGTATACACCACGTTTAGGTTGCTCCCACCCGCGTCCTGGCTGCAGGGAACAATGCTCCAGAGAACACGGCCTCAGGCTCACGGGGATCCAGGCAGGCGGGGGACATGGCCGAGCCAGAATCAGGCTGGGGGAGAAGCAGGAGTGTGCACGCTGGGCTCAGAGACCAGATTCGGGAAAAGGTACCGGCTGGAGCCTCCCAGCTGCTCAAGGCGACCCAAGGTCCAAAGCAGAAAAGCTGGGAACGTGGCTCTGAGGGCTGGGGGACAGGAGTGGTGTCCGCACCTGGGTGCCTGTCCCTGTCCCCTTCCACACCCCTCAGCCCCTTTCTAAGGAGAGTGGAGCTGGAGCGTATCTGCTCCAGGAAATACATGCTTAAATATTCCGGCCTCTTGAATTTTTACTTTCTAGAGAGGCCACAAGTGGTATACGAGGGCTAAGGCCTAAAAGGCCCGATTCCTCACCCAAACCCGCCAATACTGCTACGGTGAGCTGCTCTGTTGGGCCTCATGTCCTCCTCTACACAGCGCAACAGTGAAACCTTCCTGTCAAGGTTCTGGGAAGAGGAAACGAGGTTGTGTCTGGCAAAGAGCAGACAAGCCATCGAGGGTGATTGTCTGCCCTCCCATGAGGTCTCTGGCCACGAGAGGCTTGAACCTCTCACGTCCCCCCCCCCCCACTTCACATTTTTACATTTATTTAAAAATTCTTTTTGGTAAGGGATTATGAATTTATTAGGTCATCTGGGAGACCAGATGGGCTGAGCCCCCATTTAAGTGTAATTTATGCGCCATAAAAACCAGCCGACGTAAGCACACTAAATCCAGCCCTCTTCAGTAAATTACAGAGTGGGGCAGCCATCACCACAGTCTAGTTTTAGGTCCTTCCATCACCTCAAAAGCTTGCCCCAGCCTAATTCGCATCGGGTCTCCACACCCACCGCCCAGCCCTGGAAACCGCTGGCCTGCTCTCGGCTCGCCCATTCTGCCTCCTCTGCACATTTCACACACATGAAGTCACGCCCTGTGCACTCTTCTGCATCTGGCTCTTTCCATGTTTTTTGAGACGCACCCACATTGCAACACTTATCAGTACTTCCCTGCGTTTTACCTCATCACCTCATGATGGACATCCGGATTGGATTGTGGGTTGTTAGGAATTAATACTGCTGTGAACATTTGCATCCGAACCTCCGTGTGGAGATAAGTTTTTCATTCTCTTGAGTATACACCTAGGAGTGGCCGTGTGATAAATTTTCCTTTTGAAGAAACTGCCAAGCTGTTTTCCAAAATGGCTTCCCACCGCGGTTCCAGCAGCACGAAGGTTCTGGTTTCTGCGCCTCCATCCCTCTTAGTCTTGTCTGTCCTGCCGATTACGGCCCATCTGGTGGCCGTGCAGGTATCTCCTTACAGTTTTATGTTGCGTTGTCCTAATGACTAACGATGCTGAACACCTCTTCAAGTGCTTATTCACCACTGGAGAGCTTCCTTCTATTCAAATCTTTTGTCCGTTTGTAAGCTGGGTTGTCCTTTTATTACTGAGTTGCAAGAGTTCATTATGTAGTCTCAATGTAAGTACCTTATCAGATACAGGGTTGATAAACATTTTCTCCTAACCTGTGGCACATCTTTTCATTTGCTTCCTGGCACGGAGGTACAGAAGTGTGTCAGTTTATCCATGTTTGTCTTTTGGAGTCCCTTCTAAGACCTCTTTGCCTAAACTAAGGTCATGAAGGTTTTCTCCTTCCAGAAGTTTTATAGTTTTAGCTGTTATGTTTAGTTCTGTGACCCACTTTGAGTTGATGCTGCCTGCATGATGTGAGGATAGGGTCCAAGTACTGCTTTTTTGCATCTGGATATCACATTAACCCACACTGTTAAAAACATTATTCTTTCCCATTGAATTTTGGGGTACCTTTGCTGCGAACCAGTTGCCTATAAGAATTTAGACTCTCAATTCTGTCCCACTGACCTGTATGCATATCCTTCTGACAATACCACACTATCTTGATCACTGTAGCTTTAAAAAAAAACTATATATGTGTATATACACACACACACACACACACACACACACACACACACACATATATATCTTTATTGATTTCAAAGAGGAAGGGAGAGGGAAAGAGAGAGAGAAACATCAATGACGAGGGAGAATCACGGACTGCCCGCCTCCTGCACGCCCACCACTGGGGATCTAGCCTGTGACCCAGACATGTGCCCTTGACTGGAACTGAACCCGGGACCCTTCAGCTGCCATATGCAACAACAGGGGTTGGCTCAATAGCTTTTGGGTCATTCATGCACAGAGGGATACTATGCAGCCACTAAATGTAGGCTCAAGAAGATTTTTAATTGCACGGGAAATTCTTATCTTATATAATAAAAGGCTAATATGCAAATTGTCCCCTTGACAGGCAGTTCAACAAGGGGGCGGGGCTAGCCGGCCAATTGCGTAGGGCCCCTCCCCTTGGCTGGCCCAGCCCGATTGGCCCCAATGGGGGCGGGCTGGCTGGACCCCATCCATGCATGAATTCATGCACCGGGTCCCTCGAATTAAGTATTAAAGGAAAGAGAAAAAGCAACAAAAATAACACCAATGGGATGGTCTCAACACCATAAAGAAACACGTGCAGGAGAGAAAATAAAGAAAATATGCACAAACCTTCATCCTTGTTGCCTCTGAGTTTAAAGATTATGGAGGATTTTTTTTTTCTAATTTCTTTCAACTGTACAGATTTTCATAACAAGCATCTTACAGCCAGGAAAGGAAAAGGGCAGATGCAGGCAGGGGGACGCTGGCTGCTCTCAGGCTTACCTTGCAGTATTCATCGATGGGTATCAGGCGCTTGACGGCCACGTCCCGGATGTGGCTTCGCCGGAAGAGGATTTTGCCTGCAGAGAAGGAGAGCACACAGGGCGTTGGCAGGGGGCGGCGACCAGCTTGCAGCATGGGGGGTGTGATGTGCATGCCTTCTGTAGGCCTGAGTGGCACCCAAATCCCTGGCTGCCATCTCTACCCCGTGCTGGAGACCCCCGGGGCCTGATGACCCCAGGCGGGTCCCCCAAAGCCCGGCTCACAGTTCTAGTGCAAAGGCTGGAGGGTGGGGCCGGGGGAAAGTTCCGATGAGTGAAAGGAGGCAGGAACCAACCGTGGAGGGAAGGCGCTCCCGCCCGGTGGAGAAGGAGGGTAGACCGGAGGTCTGAGGTCCTTGGTCCGACGCCCGGCTCCCCAGGCTGCCTGGGCGGTGCAGCGAACCGCAGCTGAGCCCTGACCCAACAGTCCCGCTCCCTTCCTCCTCCTGCCGCCTCCACCTTCCCTCTGCTCTCAGCTATGTGCCCAGCACGCCACGCTGTCTCACGATTCTGCCCCTTCCCTCTGCGTGGAGGTACCCAACCTCGCCCACCGTCCCCGGGGGAAACTAGGGCCTATTCACTGGGCTGACAGCTCCCGTCATTGCTGACGGCACACACCACGCTATTGATCTACTCGCCTTCTTCCCCACCAGGCGTGGGCTCTGCCCAGATAGGGACCCACTGGCCTCTGTCCATTCCGTGTCCTCACCGTGTGCTGACAGCTGAGGACGGAGCGCAGGCTCCGCCAGGGTCCGGATGGGGTGTGACACATGACAATGGCCTCCCTCCCCTCCCTGTGCAGCGGCCGTGGGACAGGGGGCTCTGGGCGCACGTCAGGTGTGGGCCAGCGAGGGGGACGGGAGCCGAGTGTCCACGGTGCTGCCGTGGGACACGGGCAGCCGCATCTCTCCACGGAAACAATCTCCATTCAACCCAGCGCAGGGCTTAGCCCTCACTGGAGGGTCGTGATTTTTTGTTTTTTTATTTTATTTATTTTTAAAATATATTTTATTGATTTTTTTACAGAGAGGAAGGGAGAGGGGTAGAGAGTTAGAAACATCGATGAGAGAGAATCATCCATCAGCTGCCTCCTGCACACCCCCTACTGGGGATGTGCCTGCAACCAAGGTACATGCCCTTGACCGAATCGAACCCAGGACCCTTCAGTCCAAAGGCCAACGCTCTATCCATTGAGCCAAACCGGTTTTGGCTTTTGTTTTTTTCAAACCGTGTAGGTGACACTGCATCACACTCTGCACCCAGCTTTGTTTCTTTTCTCTGTTTTCTTGTGTGTGTGTGTGTTTTTTTCTGATGGTCCTCACCTGAGGATATTTTCCCATTGATTTTTAAAGAGAATGGCAGGGAGGGGGAGAGACACAGAGAGAGAAACACTGATCTGAGAAGAGACCCAGCTTGGTTGCCCTCCGCAAGAGCCCTGACCAGAGCCAGGGACGGAGCCTGCAATCTAGGCACATGCCCTCGACTGGAATCGAACCCGGGACCCTTCAGTCCGCAGGTCAGTGCGCTATCCACGGAGCCACACGGGCTAGGGCCCCAGCTCTGCTTCTTAAGTCCTGGCACCCGCTGGCTAGGCCGCCGTGGACGGGCAGCGGAGCTGGCGTTCCGCGAGCAGCCGCACGGGGTGGCCGGTCCCTCCCGGGGGAAAGGCTGACGGGGCCGGACCCCTCGTCTGCATCCAACGCCAAGTGTTTCTGGGCTGAGTCACGGGGAAGAGAGGGAACGTGCCCCCCTCCCTCCGCACCCCTCCCTTGCCGCAGGCCAGCCCTCCTGGGGCGGAGAACAGTCCTTTGTTTTCCGCAGTGGAAGAGGCCAGACTGTAATTTTTAATTTTCAAGCGGCGGCCGCTGCCAAGTTGGCTGGCCGGGCTCTGGCCGGGGAGGAGGCCTGGGCGGGCGGCTCCCCTCCCCCCGCCTCTGTGCTCACGGGAGACTCGCTTTGTTCTGCTGACACGGCGGGCAGAAAAGTGACCTTAGGAGGGGGACCCTCTCCCCCAGGCTCCTGCCCTCGGCCTCCGCATGGAGGGCAAGCTAAGAGGCGGCCTGGGGCCCGGGGGCCTCTCCCAGCTGCAGGGGTGCCGTGGGCAGGGACAATGGGCTGAGTCCCGAGAACAGCGTTTTCATGAATTTGTGGGTGGAAGAGAATTACGTAATCGGAAAAGCTTCCAGGGGCTGGGGGGAGGGTGGGCTCGAGTTCTTTCCCTTCCTGGGAAGTTTTTCCAGAGCTGGTTCGCCTTTCTTTTCTTCTTCGTTTTTTTAATATATTTTTTTACAGAGAGGAAGGGAGAGAGTTAGAAACATCCATCAGCTGCCTCCTGCACTGCCCCCCCCCCGACCCCCCACTGGGGGTGTGCCTGCAACCAAGGTACACGCCCTCGATCGGAATCGAACCTGGCACCTTTCAGTCCGCAGGCCGACGCTCTATCCACTGAGCCACACTGGTTTTGGCTGGGTTTGCCTTTCGTCAGATAGTAAGACTTACACCTCACCGCTTTGGAGGAAAACCTACGTTTAATTTTGTTGTTGTTGTTAATCCTCACCCGAGGATATTTTCCCGTTGATTTTTAGAGAGGGTGGAAGGGAGGAGGAGAGACAGAGAGAAAGCAGTATCAGCGGGAGAGACACATTGACTGGCTGCCTCCTGCAAGTGCCGGGCCGGGGATCCAGCCTGCAACGAAGATACGTGCCCACGACCGGGATGGACCTGGGATCCTTTGGTCCACGGGCCAACGCTCTCTCCCTGAGCCACCCTGGCTAGGGCGAGGAAAAACAACCACCCACATGTAGAGAGAGCCCAGTTCCATGTGAGTGTTCAGGCCGAGCACTTAAGCAATGCCTCCGAGAGATGAAATACCGAGGAGTTCCGAAGGAAAGTCACGGGCCCTACCTCTGCCTTGACTGAGAGCCCACTGTGTGTCCCGGAGAGAAGCGTGGGAGGCAGGGGCCGTGTCCCGTTTAATGGTCGGGGACGGCGAGGCCCCGCGGGGACCCGGGCTCTTGGCTGCCGCCGCTGGCACTCCGGGTTTTCTCCAACGGGAGAGAAAATTCCAGCGTGATTGCACACTCTCCCCGCGGAAGAACTAAAACACGTGCCGTTTTAGGCAAACGATCCTCCCAGCGGACGGGGGCCTGGCAAACGCCTCGGCCCAGTCTCCAAGCCCGCTCCCCGTACGGCATCTGCGAGAGCCCCCTCCTGTGCCCACGGCAGGACCCTGGAGTGGGGGAGGGGGGGCCCTGGAGTGGGGGAGGGGGCCCTGGAGTGGGGAGGGGGGGCCTGGAGTGGGGGAGGGGGCCCTGGAGTGGGGGAGGAGGGCCCTGGAGTGGGAGAGGGGGGCCCTGGAGTGGGGGAGGGGGGCCCTGGAGTGGGGAAGGGGGGCCCTGGAGTGGGGGAGGGGGACCCTGGAGTGGGAGAGGGGGGCCCTGGAGTGAGGGAGGGGGGCCCCTGGAGTGGGGGAGGGGGGCCCCTGGAGTGGGGGAGGAGGGGCCCTGGAGTGGGAGAGGGGAGCCCTGGAAGGGGTGGGGGGCCCTGGAGTGAGGGAGGGGGGCCCTGGAGTGGGGGAGGGAGCCTAGGCACCTGAGTGACCCGGGAGTCTCCCCCGCTGTGGGGCCTGCTCCCTCTTCTGCAAAAGGAGGAAGGTCGGAAGGGTCCTTTCCGCTCAGAGTACGTGTGATTGGGGCGGTGTCTACTGCTGAGGCTCTGTACATAAAAACGACGGTCCGCGCCTGACTGCTGCCAGCCTGCGCCAGAGCTCACCTACCTACCCTCCTGACAACTGCGCCTGCAGGGCCACGGTCATCTCCCGCGTGCAAAGGAAGGAGCGGAACTTCGCGTGCTGCAGCCATCCACCCAGACAGCACAGGGGAGGGGCCTGGGCGTGTGCCGCTGAGAAACGGGCACGCAGTGCCCACCTGCCAGGCTGCTGTGAGGATGAAGTGACGTAACGAACGGAAAGCGCTTCGCCCAGCTCCTGGCACACGGCAGACATCCAGTCCGTGGCAGCTACCGAGACCATCGCACTGGCTCGGGTATACCTACGTTCTTTTCTCTGGTCAACCCTCACCCGAGGACACGTCCACTGACTTTTAGAGAGAATGGGAGAGAGAAGGAAAGAGAGAGAAACATGGATGTGGAGAGACACATCGATGGGTGGCCTCCTGCACATGCTCCAACCAGGGCCCGAGCCTGGGAGGAGCCTGCAACCGAGGTACGTACTCCTGTCGGGAATCGAACCCTAGACCCTTCAGCCTGCAGGCCCACGCTCTATCCACTGAGCCAAACCAGCTAGGAATAGAACCTACGTTCTGCGCTGAGGCCTGATGCTACTCCTTTGGTAAGGAATTTTTTTTAGGAGGGAAGGGACATGAACGCCTTCATTACTACGCTAACTCCCCCACAGTGCCTGCGGTGGGGCCTGGCCCTCAGAAAGTCCGTGGCAGGAAGGCAGGTGGAATCTCTATAATGCTCCCTCCCCCACAAGATGGCCCACCCGGACCTCTGAGCCGTGACTATGATGGGATTGCTTCAGGACATGGTTTCTTTTTAAGATTATCCTGGGGGTACGACACAATCACATGAGTCCCTCAAAGCAGGCAGCTCCCTCTGCGGGGAGGAGGGGAGCAGCCGGGGCAGCTGGAGATATTTAAAGCCCAAGAGAGACTCAGTGCCTCATGCCGGCCTGAGGATGGAGGGGCCACAGAGCGAGGATGCAGGCAGCCTGGCTGACGCGAGCAAGGAAACCGGCGTCTCAAACCGGATTAGAGCGGCAGGAACTGCATTCTGCCCCAGACCCTCCGGATGAGAGCTGGCCCAGCCACGACCGTGATGTTGCCTTGGGAGATCTTAAGTCAGAGTACCCCGTGGAGGGGTGTCATTGTAAGCTGCTAACCTTGTGGCAATTTGTTACGGAGCAACAGAAAAAGGACACAGCAGCCATACGAGATGCCGCTCGTTATAAAACATTACGCGCTTAATCACCCCCATTTTAGAGGCAGGAGAAACTGAGGCTCCCAGAGGGGGAGTGTCTGGTCCCTGGGACAGGGCCCCACGGAGGAGGAGCCAGAGATCCAGAGCAACGCTTGATCCCCCCCCAGGCCCCGTCTCAGAGTTTACATCTCACCTACCTGGCAGGAAGGGGATGATCCGCTGCTTGGGGTCCTTCTGTCCCCCTTCCATGGGAAACTTGTCCAACATCTGCATCTGCCAGGGGAGAAAAATACCGAGAGATGTGACACGCGCACCTCTGACACGGGAAGGAATTACCCGACACGTGTGACCGGACATCCTAACGCTCGCTCCGTGCAGCTCTCCAGAGGCCCATACGCACGGTAAGTCCGTGTCAATGGGACCGAGGGTCTCCGTGAAGCTGCCCGGTCGGTGAAGGCCCAGAGCTGGGCGTGGCCACTCCAGGTCCTCCCAGGGGGTCTCCAGCCACAAGGCCTGCACGGTGGCCACACCCCCGGGGCCACCAGCAGTCCACGGGTGGCAGGCCATCCTGTCTCCTAAGACCTGCTGGGTGGTGATAAGGACCAAACCACTGAGACCCAATTGTGACACCCCCCCCCCCTACCGCCCCACCCCACTCAGAGCTCCCCAGGTTGGCTCTGCAGACAGCTCAGTGCCCGGCGACAGCAATTACAGAGGCGGCCGAAGAGGAAGCGGACCATTACGGGGTGGCGTCGGAAGCACGGCGAGAGGAAGGCGTGGGCCGCCCTGGGACCGAGGAACCAAAAACAGAAACCTCTCCGAGGGCGAGACGCCTCTGACCCTGGAAGGAATGAACGGGAAAGAGCAGACCCGATCGACAACATCGCAGAGACCTGCTGCGCGGGGTCCGGGGAGGTGACACCCATGTGGGGGGCGACTCTGAGGTTAAAGCCGGGCTGCGGGGTCATGGGCGTGGCCCTCAGATACCTGGTCCTTCTCCCGAGCCCCTGGCAGCCGCGGAGGCCCCACCCCCTCGGAGTGGGACGGAGCCAAGTAAACGCACTGGCAGCGGAGACGCGTCCCTCGGGGGGGGGAAGAGCCTCGAACGGTGTGTGACTCAGCACGGTCCGCCAACTCCGGCCCCGGTGACGGCCACAGGCCAGACCGAGGCTTCTCCGCCCTGCGGGTCCCGGAGTTAGGATCCCAGCCGCCTCTGAGGGACAGGCGGCCCGCGTGAGAGAGAAACGCTTACTACCCAGCGAGGCTGCTTGTCGTAGCCGCCGATCCTAACCCAGCCTGACCGGCCCGCGCCCCGGACGGCCGCCGGGGGAAGCTGCCGGGCCCCAGGATGTGTGGCTCTGGGGGCTGGGAGGGGTAAGCACGGCTCCTGTGCAGGCAGCCGGGGGAGGGGGAGGGCCTGGAGCAATGAGAAACGTGTGTGTGTGTGTGTGTGTGTGTGTGTGTGTGTGCCAGGCGTGGGCCAGACTCTGCAGACACGTTCTCGCACTGAATCTTCAGAGCTCTCCTTCACGCTGGGCACGGCTACCCAGGCGCCCTCAGCCCAGAGAAGAGGAGAAAGGTTCCGTGAGCCTGGAGCCAGCGAGAGGCGGGGCCGGGGGCTGCACCATCCGCTTCCCAGCCATCACTCCACCTCGGAGATGCTAAGAAGACACTCAATCAGGACTATTTACCCCGGCTGGCGCTCCTGGGGAGGGGCTCTGGCTCAGCTTGGCCAGTACCATGGAGTGCTGCCCGCCGCAGCTGTGGCTTCATTTGTGGCTTTCTTCAAAAAAAAAAAAAAAAAATATATATATATATATATATATATATATATTTCATTGATTTTTTTACAGAGGGGAGGGGAGAGGGATAGAGAGTTAGAAACATGAATGTGAGAGAAACATCTATCAGCTGCCTCCTGCACAACCCCCTACTGGGGATGTGCCCCCAACCAGGTTACATGCCCTTGACCAGGAATCGAACCTGGGACCCTTCAGTCCGCAGGCTGACGCTCTATCCACTGAGTCACACCGGTTTCGGCTCATTCGTGGCTTTCTGTCGGCCCCTCCTCTGTGCCGCGTGGTGATGGGGAAATGCTCGGTGATGCCACAGCAGGCCTGGCTGGGAAAGGCGGCTGCCCGGTGTGAACCGGCAGCGTTTCCACACCAGCCCCTGGAGGGCACTCACGAAAAACCGACTAAAGCGATGAATGCCACGGAGTAAGACTGGGGTCGGGGACAGGTTTAGGAGATGTCTGCCGAGTGCCCCTGATGAATGACATTCGTATTACTCATCTTGAATGATAATGAGCAACCCCTACAGCTGACTGTGAACAAGCCTTCTCCTATACGGGGCTCTACCTGGCCTTCACAAGAACCCTGTGAAATACATGTATGAGCCCCACGTCACCGAAGGGGAGACTGGGGAGCAGAGAGGGACAGGGAACCGCCTCAGGTCACACAGCCCAGTGGGAGTCCAGCCAGTGCGAGTCCCTTCATCTACATGCCATTCTCTGTCCCCAGCATCACTCCCTGGAACAGTGTTGGAGTCATGTGAAGACGAAAAACTGGCTTGAAACGAGGCAAGCTCACTGTTCCGTGCACAGGTGAGCAGCAGGGCGAGCACACGGTCTGTGCCGGAGTGTTTGCAGGATTGGTCTAACACCATCCTCTTTTCCTTCTCGATTTTATGGACGACGATGTTTGCCAACATGGAGCATCCCGAGAGCGAGCTTGCGCTCTCACGCCTTGTCCCGACTTGCTTTCCCCACAGGAGCGTGGCCCGGAGGGCGGAAGTGGGACTTGTTAACGGGGGGCAGCAGGCCTGGGTTACTGCTGCGGCCTCTGACCACAGATGCCCTACCCCGGGCCAGGCAGCCCCGAGCTTCCCGGCGCCTCCTGGTGCCAGCGTGGCCTTGGCCGGATCCCGTCCGCGGAGGGAGGCACACAGCCCGCTGGCAGGTGCTGTGCCAGTGAGCGCTGGGGGGAGCTCTCTGGGACGTCCTAGGTCCGTGGTCGGCAAACTGCGGCTCGCGAGCCACGTGCGGCCCTTTGGCCCCTTGAGTGTGGCTCTTCCACAGACTACCATGGCTTGGGAGAGTCTATGTTGAAGAAGTGGAGTTAGAAGTTTAAGTTTAAAAAACGTGGCCCTCCAAAGAAATGTCAATCGTCCTGTTGATAGTTGGCTCTGTTGTCTAATGAGTTTGCTGACCACCGCCCTAGGATGTCCCTTAGACTATCCAATAATGGTAATAAAAAAAATTACAACAGCCCAGCCAGTGTGGCTCAGTGGTTGAGCATCGACCTTTGAAGCAGGAGGTCATGGTTCCATTCTCAGTCAGGGTGCATGCCCAGGTTGCGGACATGATCCCCAGTGTGGGGTGTGCAGGAGGCAGCCCATCAGTAATTCTCTCTCATCGTTGATGCTTCTATCTCTCTCCATCTCCCTTCCTCTCTGAAAACAATACATATATTTTACAAATAAAGAGTATGTGTATATAGCCAACACAACAATAGCCGTCTGGTATGAATGTCTCAAAATTACTCTTATTTTTTGTCAGATCGGCAAAAAATGTATTTTTTGGTGTGTCTCAGAATTTTAGTAATTAGCCTGTGTGTGCCAGGAGATGAAAAAGGAGGAAGAATCGCTGAGCTCAGAAACGGCTCCTCCCAAAAGAACTATCTCTCTGAGTCCCCGTAGCACGCGGTGTTCCCGCTTACAGGACACGGAGCTCCTCTGAGGGCCCCTGCCAGGCGCAGCGACCCGCTGGCTCCGTGCCCGCTGTCGGGATTCTGCAGGACACGGAGCTGCCGTCCTGCTCCCTCACGCCCTGCACCGTCGCACACCTAGTGTCCCACCTGGATGCCCTCCCCGCCCTGTCTGCGGGCCACCTCCTTACTCAGGGTCCAGACCCTGCTCAAATGTCACCTCCTCCGGGAAGCAGGCCCGGCCTGAGCCCCCTTCTGAGCCCCTGGAGTCACTCGGGCTCAGCAAACGCTTAGCTGTGCTTCCCCAGGGAGGCCCTGGCTCCAGCGGCGGCCATGAGCCTGGGCCTGGGAGCACACTGAGCCGGTGGGAAAGCTCAGAGGGCAAAGGTCGCCTGGCACAGAGCACAGGAGACCTCTGCACACCTGAGGCCCCTTCCTGAAGGGGTGGGGTACAGCTCAAAGCAGCCCTCTCTGCGGGGCAGACCGCCTGCATCTTACAGGGAGGTGCCAGCTGGGTCTTCAAAGGGCAGCGCCAGGCAGGACTCCAGGAGCAAACCTATCTTTGAAAAGCGATTTGGAGGCAGGATTGGGCTCCAAGAGGCCAGCGGGGTGCAGCTTCCGACTCGGCCCCCCGTGGGCTTAGATCCCAGCCGTGCTGCTCTCCGGGCGTGGGACTGCCCTTTGAGCGTCCGCTCCCCATCTGCAGTGTGGGCACGATGCCTGCTTCCTGCCCGTGAGGATGGATGCAGAGTGAGCACCTGTGCTGTCAGGAACCGGTCCTCCAGATCTTTAACGACATCCCTCAACCAGCCCTCGTTACTGCCAAGCGCTACCCTCAGCGCCACGGCACCTGATCATCCTGGTGCCCGCTGCCACACGCTGACGGAGCCAGGCGGGGGCAGAGAGGCCTGCCCAAGGCCATGGCTGCTAAGACCGCCAGCTGGGCCCTGACACCAGGCTTCCCTTCCAGGCCTGGGGCTCTATGGCTACACCCTCATGTGCACGACACGCATGGCCAATGCCAGCCAGTAGTGACGGCGGCCGATCAGGGTCCAGATTTTCCAAGACAAGCGAGTCAGGAAGTCACATCAGAAAGTGAACTGTTGCCAAAACCTATTTGGCTCAGTGGATAGAAGGATCTCAGGTTCGATTCCGGTCAAGGGCATGTACCTTGGCTGTGGGCACAGCCCCAGTAGGGGATTGATGTTTCTGACTCTCTATCCCTCTCCCTTCCTCTCTATAAAAAAATCAATAAACTATATACATATATGTGTGTGTGTGTGTGTGTGTGTGTGTGTGTGTGTGTGTAAAAAGTGCACTGTCTTAAAGGGGACATTTTCGCTGGTGTTTGGTGTTAAGTCTCTGTGCCCACAACGGAGCCTGAGCGCCACTCCTTCCTTACCCAAGACCGCCTCTCTGACGGTTCCCTCTGCCCGAATGCCCTGCCCCCACCAGAGGGCACAGTCACTGCTCTCTGTTCCCCACACGCCACTCGCCCTTCCTGGAAGCAGTTCTCTGCTTTCTTCCGGGAACTCCTGTTGGTGACACACACTGGCGGGAGGCTCATTTCACTCGTGCCTGGATGGCCCTGACGGCTGCCCATGGACCCACGATGGATCCACGAGGCTTTTGCTTAAACTGTGGGGGTTCTCTTTTCCCGGATGGCACCGAACGGAATTCACGGACACCACGTGGGCCCGTGGCCACCACGTGCCTGGAGATGAAGACAGTCAAGTGAAGGAAAGCAGATGGCGGCCCCTAGTTCCAGCCAGACCTGATGCCAACTCCTCTCGGCCTCTCAGGTACATGTAGCTCAGCCACGTTCTTTGTGAAGAGCCCATCTCCACTGGGATTCTGTCATCTGCGCCCAAAACAGTCCTGACCACAACAAGATCTCCCGGCCCGAAAGTGGCAGCACTGGGACCCGGGCCCAGCTCTTACCCACTCTATGGACCTGGCACCATCCCCCGCTCGACACCCTGCCAATTCCCGATAATCCCAGCAGCTGTTATTTGCTTAGGGTTCGACAGCCCAGAGACCGCTCTCACACACATCATCCCTTCGAAAATAAATAAATAAAAACAAATAAAAACAAAAATTCAGACACACTTCACATACCAGAAAGTGCACCTTTGTAAAGTATAAACTCCAGTGGGTTTTGGGACAGTCAGAAGGTTGTGCAACCATCCCGCCTACTAATTCCAGCACATTTTCCTCCAGCCAGAGCGAAACCCTGTGCCCATCCGCCTCTCCCTTCCCCCCTCCTCCCAGCGCCTGGCAACCACTAATCGGCCCTGTCTCTGTGGGTTCGCCTCTTCCCCACACACATCACCGCTTTTAACTCCGTAGGAACCCGGGCAAGGAGCCGCCGGGGGCCTGGACAGCACAGTGGCTGGGACTGTGGTCTGTGCTGTCGCCGGCCCAGCTTCCCATGCCAGCTCCGATGCCCATGGCGGTGTGACCTGGGGCACACCCAGTGCCCGCCCCAGCCTGAGTTTCTTCATCGGCACACAGTGATAGGCTCCATAGGAGGATGACGTGAGTCCCGGCTCCCGGATGCTGAGCTGGCCGTCCGAGCGCTCTCATCGCCCCACACCACTGACGAGAGCCATCAGAGGGGTACGGGGCGTGCCCACGGCCATGCAGCACAGGTGGCTGGGCCCCAGGTCTCCGGGCTTTTTCCATGACACCCCACGTACTTAGCTGTTCCTCCTGCAAGCGCGGCCCTCCCGTGCTTTTTTTTTTTTTTTTTTTTTGAAATGATAATGTGTATGAGAGCCAAGTTTCTTCTGAAAAAAAACAAAACAAAAAAACAAAAACAAAAACCCCGAGGCCAGCCAGGAGGGAGGGGCGGGGAGGGTGGGATCGTGAAATCATCGAGGGTGTTGCAGCCCCACACGGGCTGGCCTTCACCGGGGCATGGGAACAGCTGGCTCCGGCCCTAATGCCTTCCAGCTGCCCACCCTGAGCGGCGGTGCCAGGAGGGGGGACCCTCCGGAATCCCACGCCTTCCCGTCCAGCTGCCCATCGGGACTCTTTAGAGGCGGCCGAAGGGTCATCGTCCAATGACTTCCTTGCAGGAGGGCGGTCTGAGGCCGTTGCTTAGGCCACAGCAAACCCCCAATCATTACCAACTATGCTGAGCGGAGCGGAAAAACGTCCCTTTTAAATCCTGGTGGGAATCCGAACGCTGAGTCATCCCGGGAGAGCAGAGGGAGCACAGCCTCGGGGCAGGGAGCCTGCGCTCCGACCCTGGCCCCTGGCCAGCCTTCCCAGGCAGGGTCCCCCCAGGAAGTCCTGTCGGAGCAGAGGGACAGCAGAGGACAGCTGACACGCTTACAGAGCCAGGCACGACAACTCTGTCATACCTGATGCATGCGGAAAGTGCTTTCGTTCTCCGTGTGCAGACGGGGAAACTGAGGCTCGGAAACATACAGCGGCGTGCACGAGCTGAAACCTAAAGAGGCACTAAGCTGAGCTCTGGAGCCATCTGTCTAACCCTGGTGTCAGGGTCCAAAGCCGGGGCTGTCCTGGGACAGGGAGCCGACGACAGCCCACCTCCTCAGCGCCTGCCTTCCCCGGTGTTCCGGGGCCGCCTCCCCCCTCTGCTCCCCTCTACTCATCCAGCTCTGAGCACCCACAACCCCATGCTCCCACTGCGGCTCCCGCCACGGCCCACAGGTCAGGAGGACTGACCAGGTCTCTGACAATCAGATTCTCAACCGGGAGCCGGAATCGGCACCTGGAAACCCCAGAGCATCGACGCCAGGGAAGGACACCTCCCCTCGGGGGCGAAGGTGCCGTCTGGGGGGTGTGGGCCAACAGGCAGGGGAGGAAGCTGGGCTGGAGAGGTCGCTGGGGAGAGGAAGCAGGCTCATGGCAGATCCTGCGGCCGGGGAGCCGCCGGGCCTGCGCAGGGTCACCCCGCTGACGGTCCTGAGCCCCGGCGGGCGGCTGCACTTTCTGCTCCGTTTCCATGGGCACACCTGCCTCTCGCCATCAATAGCCCCCTCTCTTCCCGTCTGAGCTGGCTGAGTGGATGCTTGCGCTGTGGGTGTCAGTGATCCCTGAGCGAGCCGTCATGCCTGCCCCTGTTCTCTGCCCCGTGTCCCTCCTTGGAAGCATCACGCAGGCAAGAGGCCTCTGGAAGCCGAATACAGTCCCTCAGGGCATGAGCAGCCAGTCAGCAACTTGCAAAATGTGGACTCAGTTCTCACTCTCTGAACTGAAGGCCTGCCATAATGGATCTGCACAGACACCGTGGTCTGGCTGCGAGGGTGCGGGTCTCAGTCATCATCACACAGGACGTGCCTCCTGCTTCTGGCGCTGGCATCGCTGCCATCCTCTGCCTTCCCTGTCCCGGCTGCTCCTGCCAAGCCCGTTGTGGACGGAATCCGGCCCTCCGGCACACACGTGTCTGTTTACATTCAGAGCATGCTCGCTGCGGACCGGAAGAAACGTGTAACTTGTGTGTGATCCCGTTCGGCGTTGCTGCACGGTGAACACAGAACCTCACCACGTTCATTCCACGTTCAGCAGCGAGGCCCCGGGTGACTCGATAGCTCACACGTGACCCCGGCAGCTATGGAAACAGGCCGGGAGAACTTGGCCACCCCCGCTCCCCCTCGGAAAGAATGAGCACCAGTTCTCCGGCTGTTCCGCTGGCCATTTTCAGGAACAGATCAGGTCCATATGACCACGAATGACCATGGTGAGCATCAGCCAACACTCAGGGAACGGGGAGCCCAGGAGACGGGCTGGTGTGTGGAAGACAAGGCTCTCTCCTGCCGGCCCCACAACACCTACTTCACACACATCACAACTGTTCTCTCCAGCTCAGTCCCGCCCGACTCCGGGGGCAGGGCAGGAACCCGACCACCCCACTGGCCGTCACATTCTTTCACCATCTCGACAGGCTTACAGCTGAGCCTATGAGACACAACCCCGTGCTCCCTGGAACTCTGGGAAGTGACCGTTCCCTCTTTCCTGCTGATCGTGTGCTCAGAGCACTTTGCAACCATGTGGGAGCTGAGGATGAAGCCGACACGATGGAAGCAGACATGCAGAGAGGAAAGAGCTGGGTGGAAGGGCACAGTGGAGAAGCCTGGATCAAGCGGTGCCTGAAGCCCACACGGTTTCTTTTCCTGGGACATGCAGTTACACCAGCCCTGAACTCCCACTGACTGAAGCCCGTGTGAGTGAGGTTTCCTGCAGCAAAAGCATCCTGACAGGCACAGAGGAAAGGGAGACAGCTCAGCACGGGTCCCTCACCACACAGCAGGGAGGACTTGCTGGTTCAAGAAGCCCAGTAGGTTCTTGAGGCCTGTGTTTTTATAAAGAACTGTATTTTGTCATATTGGGCCCCGTGACTTCTCATCAGACACCTGCTTTGAGTTGCTGGCCTTGGTGACATCAAGATAAAGCGACGGTTCCGGAGACTGCAGTTCTTTGACCCCCTGGGGGTGAGCTGACGCTGAGCGGTCCACATTGGCCGGGTGCCCTATGGGACTGTGAGTTCATTCATTCATTCATTCATTCATTCACCAAAGGTGGCCGGACACACCTGAGTCCTTGACGAAAACACAAGCTCAACATCTGCACGCCAAAGCCACGCCAACGTCACGCTCCGCTCCGGAGCCGCCCACACGCAGCCTTCCCTGTATTTGGGAAACACGGACGATCGAAGCCCAAAGCAGTATGTCCCTCCCCAAAGCGACGGGCATCTTTTTTCTTCCCTTAATGCGCAGTGTCCACACATGTGCATGGCACCCTGTGCAGGAGCCATGCTCCCCCTCTCCATATTGTGCTAATTCTAGTGCGTGTGCCGCCGAAACGGGCACACAGACGGCGCTTTTATAATAATTCTAGGGGTGAAAATGGAGCACCGTCCGCCCGCTGCGGCGAGGGTCTGGGCTCTGACGTCCACACGGGAAGGAAGTCCAGGAAGTCCTTCCTGCCCGCAGCTCCCGGGGCCCCCGCGTCCTTACCTGGAGGTCGAAGAACTTGCTGTAGCGCCGGTAGATGGCCTCGGTGGAGCCGCTGGACCAGGTGACCCGGATGATGTAGACCTGCAGAGGAGCAGGGAGACAGGCGTTAGCACTTGGCCTCGGGAGCCAAGCACGAGGTTCAGAGTGAGAAAGTCCCGGGTTTGAATCTCAGCTCTGCCACTGACTGGCTGTATGACTTGGAACAGGCTCCTCGTTCTCTCTGAGCCTCAGCTTCCTCCTCAACGAAATGGGTAGAATGACCTCCACCAGAGCGTTGTGCACAGAGTTCAGGGAAACCGAGCGTGGGAAGGCGTCAGCACCCTGCTCGGCGCAGGACGTGCTGTTATTGTTGGCAGCGCAAGGGTGTCTTGCTTCCTACTCGGTTCAGAGAGCCGCGTGCAGGCTCTTTTTGTCAGTCATTCTTTTTTAAAATATATGTTTTATTGATTTTTAGAGAGAGAGGAAGGGAGAGGGAGAGAGAGGAGAGAGATATAGAAACATCAATGATGAAAGAGAATCATTGATGGGCTGCCTCCTGCACGCCCCCGACTGGGGACCAAGCTTGCAACCCAGGCATGTAACCTGACTGGGAATTGAACCCAGACCTTCTGGTTCATAGGCCGACATTCAACCACAGAGCCATGCCAGCAGGGTTATCAGAGTCATTTTTAAAAAATATATATTTTATTGATTTTTTACAGAGAGGAAGGGAGAGCGATAGAGAGCTAGAGATGTCGATGAGAGAAACATTGACCAGCTGCCTCTTGCACACCTCCTACCAGGGATGTGCCCGCAACCAATGTACATGCCCCTGACCGGAATCAATCCTGGGACCTTTCAGTCCGCAGACCGACGCTCTATCCACTGAGCAACACCGGCTTTGGCTATCAGAGTCATTTTTAAAACGTTGGTCCTGACTGAAGTCCAAAGCGAAGTGGCGGCAAGAGGTCAGGGTGGCCCGGACACTCCCGGGCTAAGGGGTCAGCACCCATCACCCCGCCCCGACTCACACAAGTTATCTGTGGTTCTAGGGCCGTTCTGACCATTACAGAGCATGTAGCTCTGTGAAAGCTCTTTGGAGACAGAGAAATGCTGCTTGTAAAGGAGGGGTTGCCAGGACTGGTGTGGCTCAGTGGATAGAGCGTCGGCTTGGGAACTGAAGGGTTCCGGGTTCGATTCCCGTCAAGGGCATGTACCTTGGCTGCGGGCACATCCCCGGTGCGGGGTGTGCAGGAGTCAGCTGATCAATATTTCTCTCTCATAGATGTTTTTAATTCTCTATCTCTCTCCCTTCTTCTCTGTACAAAATCAATAAAATATATATATATATATAAAAAGGAGGGTTCCATGTTGTTAGAGGCCCGGGGGTACACAGTGGGCCCTGGCCCTCCCTGAGCCCAGGGTCAGGTGGAAAGACGACACATACGTGAGTACAGATAAATAACGTGTGTGCAGTGGGTATGTCGTCTTTTGCCTGGTACGGGTTAGTTTTTCTCCCCCGCAGAGCACTGGGTCTCTCTCCCGGGAACCCCCCGCCCCCCTGGGGGGGATAGTTTCTCAGATGCGGGGGTGGTGCGATTCCGTACCCACGGGGAGCCGGGGAAGAGGGAGCACGTGGCCTGGGCTAGGCCAGGCAGAGCCAGTGAGGGTCAGCCCTGGACTTCAGTCCCAGCTCTCAAGAGAGCAGCCCCGAGACTAGCATTTCAAAGGCTGCCGTCTCTAGGGGATGTTTAGGCCAAGCTTGGATGACCCGCTGCCAAGAACAAAGCCCATGTGGATTTGTCCTGTACGGTGAAAAGGTTGAGGGTTCAATCCTAGGTTGGGGCATATATGAGAGGCACCCATGGGGAGGTGTCTCTCTCTCTCTCTCTCTCTCTCTCTCTCTCTCTCTCTCTCTCTCTCTCTCTCTCTCTCTCTCTCTCCCCCCGTCCCCTCCTATTCCCTTTTCTTTTTCCTTTAAATCAATGAAAACATCCTCGGGTAAGGATTTAAAAAACACATATTAAAAAACAAGGAGAAAAAAAAAAAAGAGAAAATGTCATCCAAGGTTTTTTTTGTTTTTTTTTTAAACCAATAAAAAGCACACACTCATAAACTGGGAAATCTGCTTACACCGTTCATTCCTGATCGCCGTTTGCAAAGTTCAAGTCCCGCACGCACCGCGCAGGGCTCTGCACGGGCCTAACGGGTTTACCGGAGCCAGCCGCTGAGCACGCGTGGACAGGCGGCATCCGGAGGCCCAGACCTAATTGTTTTAACGAATACTGTCCCCACCAGGGCTCTGGCTCTGCCCGGCGTGGGGGCTGGGCGAGGAGCACGCTCACCGGTGCCAACGCCCGTTCTACTGCTGGGCGAGCTCACAGGGCACCGAGCGCTCTGGACGCGCTGTTCCTTCTCTGAAACGGGGCCAGTGACCGCCCTGACTCGCGCCCGTGGGGCCGTGCAGCCGTTGTTCCAGCTCACCTGGTCCCCTTCCCCTTCTGCTGCTAAGAGCCCCTATTTCCTGGGGGGCCACCCCTCTCCCTCTTCCCATCTTTGCCAGGGGGGAGGGTAGGGATGTGTCTCCAGGCTGGCCGACCAGAGCACTGCCTGCAGCCGGCTACGCGATGGTTCAGGGGGGGGCCGAGGGGACTCCATTCTGGAACTTCAGACGCTCGATCAGGACAGACCCCTTCCCCATGGCAACGGCTGCCGGGAGGAGAACGCCCCCCAGGCGTGTGGGAGGCACCTGCACCCAGAAGCAAGCGGGTGAGAGGGTAAGGGGCCGAGAACTGGGGCCTCATGTGAGCCCGGCCCAGCATCCTGGACACGTCACAACGCAAGCCGGCACCTCCCCTTTCCTGCGATCGGAGTCCGTGTCTGTCACTTGTAGCCAAAGCCACCGTATAACACGGGCCCCACCCACAGTGACACTCGGGCCTGGTGTTCGGAAATGGGACGCAGACTTCTTCACGCCGAAGGGTGGGGCAGACTGGTGTCCAGGGATGGAGGGACGAGAACGCACAGTGTGGTACATCCATGCAAGGGAATAGGACTCCGTCTCAAAAAAGGAAGGCGATGCTGACACACACTACGCCCCGAGGGCACTGCGCTAAGGAAAACAGGCCCGTCTCAAAGAGACAAAAATACGGTGTGATTCCACTTACAGGAAGTACCCAGGCCGGCCAGGTTCACAGAGACAGAAATATGCAGTCTTCTGGCAACTGTTGTCAGCCAAATGTTTAACCTGCATCTCAAGCCTCTTGACTTAAGTTCCAATTGACTGGAAGTAAAGGAGGTAGAGGAATGGACTAAATGGCACCAGAAAGAAATCATCAGAATGTGGGGCGTTCCACAAGTCTACGAAGAGGGCACAGCTTAGATGCTACTTCCTCCAGGAAGCCCTCCCGGACTGCACCCTCCCCTCCAACATTGCTGCGTGTTTCCTGGGCACCCACTTCCCCATCACACGGACAACTGCCTGAGGGTCTGCTTCCCGCGAGGCTCCACGTTTCGTGAGAGCAGAGGCCACGCCTGCCTTATTCCCCGAGAGCGCCGTGCCCCCGCCCGGCGCTGAGCATGGCGGAAAAATCTGTGCTTTCGGAATGAATCCACGAGGAAGAAACCCAGACGCCGGGTCCGGCCCTCGCAGAGAGGAGGCAGCCGGAGGTCTGCGGGAGGGGAGCCGGGCAGTGTCTCTCACGTCGTCCCACCCCGGCCTGTCCTCTCTGCCCACTGTCCTGCTTCCCAGCCACCCCACCTCAGCCCAGAGCAGCGGGACCTCCCCTGGGAATGAGGAAGCACCGACCACAGGGTGTCTGCGGCCTCGGAGCTTTCCTCCTGCCCCCGCCCTCCCAGGAGGCTTTGACAGAAACGAGCCTCCGCTGAAAACCCCTTCTTACACAACCTCGGCCGCGTGTGATTCCCAAGGCCCTGATGTCTGGGTTTCCTTCTCCTCCGAGTGCTGCAGGAGAGGGACTGGGGGCGAGGGGCTGCGGGGTGGGGCTGAGCCCAGATCCCCATGCCAGCCGAACCCTCCCCACGTTTTCCTGGCAGCAGATGGAGGCCCAGGAGTGCAGTGACCTGACCGAGGTTCGCTCGAACCTTGGGGGCCTTGCTGCCCAGGCGCCGTGCCCCTGCCCCATAGCCCCTGTGGGCACAGCTGGACCGGGGCCAGCAGAGGTGCCCGCTCATCCTCCTGTAGTGCAGGTACTGTGGCAGGTAAAAGGGACAGGCGAACCAGTGTCCCCTCAACCTCAAACAAATTACGTGTGCAGCTACGTTCTACAGTCTGACAAACACGGGCTTAGCGAACACTGGACCTCTGCTTTTAGGCCAGCAGTCGGCAGACTCATCCGCCCACAGAGCCAAATATCAACAGGACAACGATGGACATTTCTTTGGAGAGCTACATTTTTTAAACTTAAATTTCTTCTAACGCCACTTCTTCAACATAGACTCGCCCAGGCCGTGGTATTTTGTGGAAGAGCCACACTCAAGGGGCCAAAGAGCTGCCTGTGGCTCTCGAGCCGCGGTTTGCCAACCACGGTTCCAGGGGAAATGGAGTGTCAGGCGCCTGTAGGAAGACACCTCCTTTAATGTATGCGCCCCAGGGCGCCCAGGAGTTTAAAAAGAACCACTTTCTCTGAAGGTGCCGTCCCGCCCCATCCCCATCGGTCCGGCTGGCTGGGTTTCCGGTGGGCAGATGCTGGCAGCGGCTTGCAAATGACCGGCTGGGCTTCAGATCGCCTCCCTGGCAGCATTCGGGGTGGGGGAGAGCGCCCCGAGGGGGTGGGAGGCGGGGAGGAAGGGCAAGAGCAGGGAGGAGGAGGAGGAGGAGAGAGGGAGGTGAGGGCACAGGCAGTTGGACGGGCTCTGCCGGCTTCACTGATGGGAAACATGACTGCGCTGGTCCCCGGGGAGCCCAGGAGCTCCCTGTGGTTCCGTCTGTCGGCCTCCCCAGCGGTCTGCCCACATCTGGCCCCCGCGGGCCAGCGCTCCCAGTCGCTGTTCGGAATTGCAACCCTCCTGCTTAGTGAGTTCCCACCGCCGCCACCGGAAGTGCTAGAGAGCACGTGCTCATCTCTCTCTCTCTTTAAAAA